AATATAGGCAAACAAAAAATATATTTTCTATATTTAAAACAAAGCACCGTCAAAAAAAAACAACAAAAATATGCAATCATTATTTATTTCAATTATTTTTGAAACAGGTTTTGCGATTACCAGACATCACACTTGACATAGGGGTTAAGGACTGAGGGCAAGGGGCAATTGAAGGCCTGTCCAAACGCTGGAAGGTTGGCCACCGAATGGTGCAGGCGCACCTTGTCACTTTCCTGATTAGAAAAGGTCACAAACTCCTCGTCACCGATCAGATTCTGGGCCATGTTAAGGAAGAACAGCTGCTGCAGGGGAATCCTAGTGAAGCTGGGCTGCACCTGGCTGTACTTGGAACCCACACCAAAGTAGGCCTCGTAGATTAGCTTCAGAGCCGTAACGTCGCCCGCTCGCTGTTCTACGTAGTCCGTGGCATTGCTCTTCAGACAGCTCAGGGCCTGGACGTAGTTTCGGTTTTCATAGAAGTTCGTAAACTTGTCGGAAGGATTTCCCACGGCGTCGTAGATCAGGTCCGGGAGCTCTAGGGACTCCATCAGCTGCTGGGCAATTACCCATCCCAGAAGACTCACTTTGAACACATCGTGGCTCTCGAGATCGTAGAACGGCTTTTGCAGGATGTCATAGGGCAGAACAATAGTGTTTTCTCTCGGCAGGAAAGTGGGCTCCGAATGGATCTCAGGAATGCTGTCCTCCTGGAAGTAGTAAGCGTTACCCTTGGCCGCCGGCCTATCCAGCAGCTCCAGGATTCGGCGTGTGCGCACCTCCAAGACCTTGAGTTGGGCAGCGGCGTAGTCCTGTCCAATGGGAAGCTGGAGATCCCTGTAGAAATTGGTCACGAAGCTACGGTGATCCTGGTTCTTGGGCATGTTGCCCACGTTGAGCTTTGTGGCCTGCAGCTTGAGTTTCACCACTGTGCGCTCACCAGGGGTTAGCTTCAGACGGTTGGCCTCGATCTTGGCTAGAAGCTGGGTTCGCAGTGCATTGAAAATTTGCTGGATATCGGTCTCGATCCGAATCAGTTGCTCCGGGGCAAAGTACTGGCTCTCGTACAGGAAATTGGTGCCGAGGTTCATGTGGACACGCACATCCTTAAGGCACTCGAGGGCATCATTCTCATCGTCGCTCTCGCTGGTGAACTCCATGAACTTGGCGAACCGAACCATCATGTAGGAGGCAACTATCTCAGCATCGTACTTACGCAGAACCTTCTTCAGCTCCACAAAGTAGTCCACATTCATGATCTGCACCTCGAAGCTGGCGGGGAAGGTGCGACCGAAGACGATCTGCAGGTATTGCCTCCAGGGGAATCCGTTTTGGCTCTCCAGTTCGCGTAGGGTCAGATCGTCGTTAGGCTCGTCTTCTACCTCGGCCAGCTGCCTAACTTCCGACTCCAGCTTCCGGATATTCCTGGCTAAGGACATGGCCCGTGTACGAGAAACGCCCAACTTGATCAGCAGCTTCTTGGTGGCCACCAGGCCCTTGAGTCTTTCCGAAGAGCTGTCGAAGGTTGGCTTATCTATGGTCACCATATACCTGCTGCTATCGACGAAGTCTAGCTTAACATTCACCTTGATCAGCAGGTTATCGAAGCCATAGCGACGCAGTCGGGCGAGTGTCGTCATCCACTGGAACTTAGCTTTGGGCCAGGCGCTGGGGCTGCTAGCAAACTGTGGCCAGGTGAGACCAGCATCGGGGGGCACCAGCTCCAGGTAGTGTTTCTCCGAGCGAGTCTCGGGCTTTGCCGTGCGACAGGTCTGGTAGAAGCGCAGCACCTTGGCCTCCACGCCGTTTTCGTCAATGAGGACGCTGTCGTTGAGCTTCTGGATGGTGGACAGAAAACGATCGTTTACCTTCTGTTCGATCTCACCCTGGATCTCGCTGTAAATATCCGCCGAATGTTTCTCCTCGTAATTGCCGCCAACGTACTTCTGGAAATCCTGGCAAGGATCCGCCCGGTTGTCCATGTAGCCTAGAAGAGTTTCCAGGATCTCCTGGTTGACATTGGATGTTGGCAGGGGAGCAGGAACCACCCATTGAGCCTCCACTCCTGCCCAGAGCAGCAGCCCCAAGCAGGTAATCCATTGTATTAATGTTGATTGCGCCATCTTCAATGGCGAACTGAAGATCCGCCAGCAGGTGAAGCCGTATTTAGAGGCTTCCAAGCCCATTGATAGCCAGGGATCAGGGTGCTCCAGGTGCTGATCCCAATTAAGCCTTATCGCGAGCTTTTAGCGATTGCCGCGGCCAAATAAAGTGATGCTATAGGAGCCCCAACACATATAGCTTTTTGAAAGTCTAGTTCAAAGTTTTCATCTTATTTGGAGGTGCGTTCTAAACTGTGTCACATTTTAATAATAGAAACTAATTAAATATTTGTTGCTGGTTTCTTATTTAAGTATTGAATACAGAATTAATTTAGAATTTCTGTTTTAATCTGAAATCAATATAAAATCATATTTCAGTCATTTAATATTCCGATGTTCCCCTTTAGAAGCCACAGCGTACGCTACCAACAGGCCCTTAATGGCACAATTACAGGCCTCGATTACATCCCTTCCCCAGCGGCACCCTCTTCTCTTGGCCAAGTGTTTGCTCCGGAGGAATGGCGGCAGTAACAGCTTAAATTTATTGATTGTTTCATAAACAGCGATTATTTAACCGCCGCCTTTCGATCGGCCCTCCAGTGCAGCGCCCCGACCCCATTGCAGCAACCAAGTCTGGCAAACACTTGTGGCCATCTTCTGGGCATGTTCCACCAGTTAAGGTTGGGGGACTTTTCCCCCAGACGCTCGTCCAATCGCACACATATGGGATCAATATGGACGAGGGTGTGGATGGGTGGTGATTGTGTGGCACATGACAAGTCACAAGTGCGGCCAGTAAATTTGCATGCGACAGCAAATACTCAATGGCCGGACTGGGACAATGGGGGGAAATGGTGTTGAGTAACTCAGTTAGCAGGGGTTGTGCGGTGGTCTTACCCATCCTCATCGGTGCGTTTTGGGGGTCACAGTTGAAAAGGGAAGCTCGGAGAATTGAACTGAACATTCAACGTGGGCGGCAACACAAAAATTCCGCCCTGCATGCACTTTTCCAGCTACACTAGGTTTTTTTTAGGGTAACAAAATTTTAAAGCTATTTTGTTACGTTTAAATTTTTTAAACAGATGCTGGAATAATATTTTAAATTTAATAATATTTTTACTTGAATTTTATTTAATTAAAATTGTAATAGAAAGCCCTATTATAGGGCATTACATTTTCGTATTATCAAAGTCGCAAATTTCCAGCGTTTATTCAGGGCTTTGAATCCGTCTATGCGACATCCCAAGGAGGCGGCGGCTTTCGGCGAGGCGTGGCGCCGCCTAATGAACACGATTCAGTCGCGGAAGGGAAAACTTTACACTAACGTGACGGCGAATTTATTGAGCTGAGCTGGTGGCAAGGGCTGTGGGAAATTGGGAAAACGTGAAAATGCAAAGGGGGAGGGCAACGTCGAGGAGCATCCCCATTTTTTCGAGCAAGTCACCGCGAACCGGTGGTGTGTTTCCTCTTCTATGCCACAAAAGTATATGTATCCCCAAAATAACATAAAGAAAAAGAAAAACTTTCGTCGCATTGCCGGAACAAAGGCCAAGTAAAACAACCGAAGAGGAGGCGAGGAAAAATGAGATTTCATTTGCCGGCAAAACTTGGCAAGAAGCGAATTACCATTTACGGCTGAGCTTTTTGCGGCTCCATTTGTTGATTGTTTCGCTCGGTTTCTGTGGCAACCGGAAAGTAGGCAACCCGAATCAGCATCACGGCGTCGTAAATCCCAAAAGGAATAAACTCAAGGGTGATGTACGGGGAGAAAATCGGTAGTTTTTATCATAAAAATCGCATCCCCTAAACGGAGCACTGCAATTATAATGGAAGAATTTTCGTGATAAATTCTCTCACATGTCAGGCCGAATAATTACGAGATATACGAAATGGATTCTGCACAAGAAAAAAAAAAGAATAGTAGGAGTAAATCAAATGTTAAAGCACAAGGCTTCCACCATCCCTTAAATGGGAAACTTCTAATGATGAGTCGCAACCAGATTGAACTATTTGGCCAACACATGATAAACAACACAACATCAACAACAACGAAAGAACAACAACAAACGATTGCATGTGGGTGAAATTAGGGGGTGGAGCGGGGTGGCATTGACGTTAAGGGTTGCTTCGTTATCCGCCCGCTTTCGTTCGCCTGGCAACACTTCACTATACGCTTTTCCTTTTTATGTACCGTGTACTCGATAAGTTCAAGGATATGATTGATTTGTGTTAAGTGCGTTGGACTTGAAGCTATAAAGTTAATTTATATCTATTAACTATTATTAATTGAAAGTAAAAATGAAAGGATTTAGATTAAAGAACAGTACATTAATATTTTAGTTTGATTAATATCAAACGGAAGTCACAGAAATATCATTCCAGATTTAAAATCATTAGAAGTTGTAACTTAAATTTGGCTTTAAACGATTTTTTTTCTTATATATTAAATATCACACTTAATGACACTTTTTCAATTCATTTCGAAATCACAGCCATTTCTGAAACATAGATAATTTATATTTAAAACTTATTTAATGAAATCAGGTCATCTTTAATATTCCCCACGTAAAGGGTATTAAAGACGACTATAGCTTTCCACAGATTTTCACGATTCTGGCGGCTTCAAAACAAAAATCCTGTCAGCGGTATGAGATGGGTAACAAGAGAGCGGTGGGGGGCAAGCAGGGAGAGGAAATCAAACACAAGGGCTCTCCATAGAAATTTCAATTTCACTTTTGCAGGTGAGCAAAGCTCTCTCTCCGAGAGAGGGAAATAGAGTCGAGAAGAAAGAGAGCTCATGCGCCGGGAGAGCACAGGGGTTGCCACCGCATCTGCTCAGGGTTGCTGCACGGCGTTTCGCTGCGGCAGCATCCAGTTGGAGTCCAGTTGGAAAATGTACGCGCACTCAAACGCAACAAAAAGCGCGTGACAATAGGCGGCGAGTCGCAAGAAAGCACACTACAAATTCGGTTTTGACAAAGACTTAACTCACACTCGCGCATACACACTCACACACTCTCACACGAATGCGTCGCGTGCTGTCCCCACAACGCCCCACCTCCCCCCTCCGCTGTGCGTGTCTGTGAAAGAAAGCGAAAAAAGTGGCCAAATTGCCAAAAATAAAAATAAAAGAAAATATAAAATATAAAGCAAAGAGTGAGAGAGCAAATCAATTTGCGGCAATTAAAAAAGTAAATTAGCAAATTAAAGTGTTCGAAATTAATACCAAAAGCAATAAGTAATTAATGTGTACATAGCCTACAATGCACTTTTGTGTATTGATCTGCCGAAATTGACCTTTTGGGCCAGAACCCCCTCGGAAAACTTCACCCGCTTCGAGAGGAAAGGAAACAGCAACAAGCTCTTCATTTCCTTTTTGATAATTAGCAAGTGGAATGGAATAATCAACCGTTATGCTCTGTCGCCAAGTGAAATGCAACTGCAGCTGAGAACCGCTATTCAGTCAAGTGGCAACAAAAAAGCTAGCGAAAAAGGGAGCAGCTGAAGGCAAAAAAATGCGAAAAAAGGCGAAGGGCGAAAGGAGAGTGGGGTGTAGGGAGGACGAGGACTGGAAAGCGCACTATTGACATATATACGCGCAGTCACAAAGCGAGTGCCGCGATTCGAGCGAAAGAGAAGCGAAGGAAACGCCGCATAAGACAAAACAGGAAATTCACTTATACACGCGCACACTCACAGACACACTTACCCACACACACGCAACTGACGCATTTGAAAGGAAAGGAAATTCGCGCTGTTGAGCTTTGCATTCTGACATTTCATTTTCAAAACACAGATTCCAGTGAGAGCGACACTCGCTCTCCCACACTCTCTTTTCCAAGCCTCTCTCTTACTGCGCTCTCCCACTCTCCGGCTCTCACGCTCTCCACTTTCCAAGCTTGATTCCTTCAGGTTTTTTTTTATTTGTATTTTCCCCGAGCAAATGAGAAAGTAAACAAATGCCAAAGGCGGCCGCATTAACCAGAAATGAAACGGAATTGTGATACCACATGCATTAACACGCTCCTTGTGTGCCCCTAACGAAAGTTGGGCTGAAAAGGCAGGGGGAGGGTGAGCGGGAGCCGGGACGGTGCAGTCACGAAGACAAACAAAGGGGCCGCCACACAATTGGCACCACAACAAATGCCCTCGTTCCACTTGGACTCCAATTGGGATTAGGCCTTGCTTGCTGTGACATTGACATTAATTGAGAAGCCAACAACATCAAAACCGGGGGAAGGGAAATCCTCATTAAAGAGTGATTTAGGAAACAAGAACTCTGTCAATTGGGAACCGAATAGTTGTTGACACCCGTAAACAGTTCTTTTTACGGCCGCCTTTTTTCCCCTGTCACATTTCATGATTCAGGATTTTTGGCACGAAAAAACCGTGTTCAAATGGTTTCAGCCTGGCATTACTTTTTACGGCCTATTTTACGACCATAATTCCAATTACAAGTTTTACATGTGTATTTTTATGTAGTCGCGAGAGCAATAAAAAATATACTGTCTACGTGCGTATACGTAATTTTTACAGAACTATAGCATACATCACGGCTGAAATAAACAGCAGTTTAAAACAAAATTTGGCAGTCAAATTATTAACCAAACACCAAGAAAATGAATTTAAATTATTATGTTTATAATTTATATATCGTTTTTTTTTTATTTAATTAATAATTCAAAAAAACATAAAAAACATATTTCCCGATTTTAATTTCAAAATCAACTTCTAAAGGTTTTTAATCTGGGAACCTTCAAAAACGTATCTTGTGTCCGGCCCCTTCGGCCATCCGTTTATCAAAGTCAACCGATTGGGTAGCTAAAATCAGTTCAGCCGGCAAGATAACACCCCTGATTCATAGCCACCTTTAAGGTGTGTTCATTATGGCCCATTCACCAATTGGCAATGCCTTTAAGTTCCGAAATTCGTGTTGCTGGGCACGAGGCAGACCTTAACCACGAATTATGCCTGAATGATGCTACAGGCAACCAACTTCAGTTTTAAGAGCTCCTCAAAGGCAGACACAGCTGCGGACATTAGGCATTACATACAAATTCCGTACAAAAGCCGGCTTCCCGGAGAGAGAGATAGACATACAAATGAATTTGAAGATAGAGAGAGAGAAGAAAACACATTTAGGGGGGTTGATTTTTGGGCGTTGAAAGCGCTTTTCACTAATTCAATGCGACATTGAAAACAGTGAGCTTGAATGCGGAAAGTGCAGACTTTCGGGGGCCAACGGACAGAGTGGCGGACGCAAGGACACGCGTACGGACAGCCGTAGTCTGACTAGACGGAACCGGAAGGGCGTCAGCGTCTGGCGCTCAGCCAAACCAGAAAACCCGATGAGGGGTGGCCCAATATACATACATACATACATACATAGATGCAAAGCCGGCAAAAGGAAAGCCAAAGGAAAGTGCCAACCTTGGTACAGTGAGAGGGTGGGGGGAGCAAGGAACTGCGGGGTTCATGTCTGCATAAATTATGTATGTATATTTTTGGCCACCAGATAATCAACTCGTCAAAGGCTTCTCATTTTTTGGCAGTCGATTTATTGGTTAAAGGGTGCCAACGGAAAAATCCATGAGCGCAAAAATATCCATTCCCGGGCATTGGCCATGAATAAGGTATGAAGAGCACGTGACTGGTACGGTCCCAGAATCCGAGAGACAAAGAGGACAGGGGGTTCTGGCAAAGGGTTCGACCTGGATTGGCCATAAAGTGATTGTGATTTCCCTTTTAGAGCAAATAGGCCGGCAATTATTTGCGGTGTTTGTGATTGCGGGCTGCGGTTCAACGGGTCCGCTTCGGTTTCGGCTGCGATTCGGATTTCGATCCACCTTTCGTTTACGGCCACGGGTTAGCAAGCGTACGTATTGGCCGGAAGACACAGGGACACCGGCCCCGTTAAGATTTCGGTCGTCGGCGGTGGTCAGAGAGGCTCGAAGATTTGGCGTCGCGAGCGCATCGAGATGACAAATGATCCTGACCTCGATGACTGTGCCTTTCTCTCCGGTAAGTTTAAGTGATGTGCAAATTATGCACATCAATAATTTAAATGTTTATAGAATAATGGATACTTTAAAATAAAAGCAAGTGAGGTCAAGTATTTTAATAAAGAAAATGTCTAGCTAATTATATAGTTTTAGACCTATTAATTTAATAAATTATTTTAATGTTATGGTTGCAAAATAAACCATAATCTAGCACCCTGTATATTCATCTATATCTACATATATCAAAAGCAAACTATCAAGAGCTTTACTTCTCCGTATATACCGACACCCATTTTGTGTTTTCTTTTTACCTTCCGAGCCTTTGCACCCTTTTCGAGGCAGTGGCAATGCAATTGCAGCCCAGCAGATGAAATATTTACACAGCCCACCATGACTTTTATTCGGAGTTTAATTACATTTGCCCCTTTCTCTGCATTTCTTCGACAGGTGGCGAATCGAGCGGCGGCCGACAGACGCGCACCGGAGTGGCCGTCTGCTCCCAGCGCCGGGCTCTACTTGTGGCCGGGATCGTGCTCGGCTCGCTGCTGCTGACGGCCATCATCATCGCCTACGCCGGACCGCAGAACGGTAGGTTTGCCCCGTGCCCGTGCTCCGTGACCCTCTCTCACGCCGTTTATTTCCATTATTTTTTTCGAGTTTTTTTCGAGTTCTTTCAAGCATACTCTACCTCTCTCTCTGTTCGTTTTTCATTTCCACCCACAACAAAACAGGCCACGGCGGTTGGGGTAGCCTCTCTGTTGTTGTTACTTGATTACGCTTTTATTGGGGGTGCCAGGATATATGTAGTCGAGTGGATGAGAGCCTGTTTCCTTTGTGGCCTCGAAAGGGTCTACCGAATTTGACAGCTTTAAGGGGCGACGTCATAATAATAAAGGATTCTGCTGCAAACACAATGGCTAGAAATGTAATTTCAAAGGCCCTTTTAGGATAAGAATTTAATTATGTAATTATGGGAATTGTGTATTCTTAATTAAAGTATAAAGGCTATAAATGATTACAGAAATACATTTACCTCGGAATACTAAAGAACATAAATAATGCAACCCAACCCAATGGCCAGTATATTATTGATGTCTAAAGGTTCACAGTTGGAGCCCCATAAATCCCTATAAATGGTAATTGAATTCCTTGACCGACAGCGTCCAAAGCAGGCCATAAACCATCTGGCCAGCCAATCCAATTCGCTCCACCCTCGGCAGCACCGGGTAATATGTATGCTTTTAACCGTATTAAGTGGGGCCAAGGCGGCATCGGCTTTGGCATCGGCATCCATTACAGTCCACGTATAAATAGATGCAGCTCTGCATCACCTGTCTGACATCACCTGCCCTGTCGCCATCGCACTGCGGAACCCTTAGGCCTCGGCCTCTGTTCCTGGCCATATTCAATTGCAAAATTGCGGAATTATGCAAAGTGCAAACACTCGCTCGCTGGAAGTTTCTGTTGCATACTTAATAGGGCTAAATGCATTGGGGGATAATTGCATTAACCCAAGGGAAGAGCAAACAAACCCCCACGTATGTGTATTCCCGCAGAAACACACATGTCTGATGGAAAGTTAATTTCTCCCCCTGCGAGCTCAATTATCAGTCAACCTTTTGCCGCCATGTAGCTTTAACTTTTGCTTCCGCCGATTGAACCAGAGAGCTCTGAGCTTAGAACCGAAATACAGACAGCAATGTCACTGCTTTTTACATACTACCGTGCCAATCCAATACAGTATATATATATATATCCATAAGCCATATATCTGTTTGAGTTCCTCACCCGATTTGGTTTCCCATTCCGACGTTTCCTTTTGCGTTCCCCTTCTCGTACACAAAATGTCTATTATATAAATATGAATCTTTGAAAAAATATGAAATATTTCTCTTAAATGCTTGTTTGATTGATTGGTTGAAATGTGAGTAACAATTATGCCAAACCCGAATACTTCTAAACTGGTAAATAGCCATGACATTCTATATAATCCTTCGGCATGTTGATGTCATTGATCATCTGTTGTTTCTAACTTATCCTTATCCTTATCCCCTCTCTTATTATTTCCGTATTTTCTATCTCTAGATGTTAGATCTTGGTTTTTATATACTTTCTAGTGAGAGGAGCTCAGCTTTTTCTAGTTTTATGATTGTAAATATTTAAAATCATGATCATGAGATTAATCATCAAAAGGCAAGATATCAATCATCATATAGATGGTTGTTACACACGATTTAGACATATATATAAGGAAGTTGCACTTAAACCTATTAGGGGAACTCGCAGCATCAGTGTAGAACAGATCTATCAATATATATATATATATATGTATATTACTATTAATTTATTCAGAAGCTATTTTCGATTTTAACCTGTGAATTATCATTGTATTAATGTGGTAGCTTATTCCTATGATGATCTCCTATAAGAAATATAACATATTATAATCGTTAGTTTCTTTATTCACTGCCATTCGATTTGACTCAATCGCGTAATTCAGCTAGAACGAATATTTATTTGTGATCTTCCTCGTTTCAGTTTCGTTCACCCCTATAGATGTGCTAATGACTTGAACCGAATCCAATTATTAAACCGATTTACTGCTAGCTTTTCTTTATGCTAAACCCCTACAACCCCGTCTTAGATGATTTTCCCCTAAACTCTCTCCCTTCTCTATCTCTCTGTTGATTGTGTATAATGCAATTTGCTTTAACGAACTTAGCCACGAATCCCCACGAACGAGCAAAAAGTCCGCGAAAAGAGGAGTGAATTATCCTGAAATACAACCAATACTGATTGTGCACCTTGACTATCCTTGCAGACTGCTCCTGCGGATCTAAAACTGTGTCTGGTTACGATACGGATGAAGAGAACAACACTCAGCCCTTTAATCCGATTGCCACCAACGGGGAGCCCTTTCCCTGGCTGGAGAAGATGCTGCCCACCAGTGCGAGACCGCTGCGCTACATGGTTACCATCCATCCTAACCTGACAACGCTGGATGTGAAAGGTGAGGTTCTTAGCCATGAGTTCCTTACTGTTTTCCGTAAAAATATGAAGAATTTTAATTTTTTTAATTTGAATTTCAAGCTTATTAAAGTAGATTTTTATATTTTTATACTACTTCCTTAACTGAACACATTTCAACGTTATATTTAATGAAAATTGTCCGCATCGCTGCTTGCGAAAATGCACCTTTTTATGCGCCCCAAGCTCAATCACTGATGGAATTATAATTCGATTGTCTGACTCTCTCGTAACTTCTGCCTTCCTCTTTCATATTCCCGGTTGGCCAGGCCAAGTCACCATCGATTTGCATGTGGAGAGGGAGACCAACTTCATTGTGCTGCATATCCAGGACCTCAACGTCACCGAGAAGGTAAGCAGCGAAAGCCCTCTTGATCCGGGAGCCGGCAAATTAAGCCAATTAGCGTCTGACTCGAGTGCGTCCATTGATTGCATCGCCGTTTCGGTTGCAGGCCATAGTGACCCCGGGACCCAAGGGATACGCCCTCAAGATTGTAAAGGTGCTGGAGTTTCCGCCACGCCAGCAGCTCTACATCGAGGTGAAGGAGAAGCTGAAGAAGAAGTCCAATTACACCCTCAACCTGCGCTGGTACTCCAAGCTTAATCCGGAGCCGGAGGGCTTCTATGTTGACCAGTATGAGAGCTCCAACGGTGTGGAAAGGTAAGTGCTACCTCTTACTTTTGAGTGAAAAACAAAAATATACGTTAATTCTACTCTTTCCCAGATTATTGGCAGCCACCGTTTTCCGACCGAATGGGGCAAGGCGAGCCTTTCCCTGTTTCGATGAGCCCCACGTTAGGGCGCCTTTCCGCATCTCCGTGTTCCGCGATCGCTTCCATATCGGCCTGTCCAACTCCATAGTACACACCACCGAGGATGTGGGCTTCTACATGGGCACGGGACTGGTAAGTACAAAGGAAAATAATAATAATAGCCAATATAACAAGTGATTTCCGACAGCTCCGTGATGACTTTATAGAGACGCCTCCACTGCCCGCCGATGCTGTGGCCTGGGTGGTAAGCGATTTTCAGCGCGAGTCTTTGCAGCCATCGGCCGCTTACATCCCCACCACAGTAGCGCCACCGGGGTCCGGAGCTGGTGGCAAGAAGTCCGCCCAGTTGAACAACTACACCCAGCTGAAGGGCAAGAACCCTCCGGTGCGGAACATCACTGCCCTGACGCAATCTCTGAATGTGAACCTCACGCCCCGCCAGAACCTTACTACTGTCCAAACGACGACGACGACAGCTTGGCCTGTATATCTTAATGGGAATGGAAAGCCATCGAATCTCACCTCTTTGTCGCAGTCCACGGGCTCCTCGATTAAGAGGGCTCCCTCGTACACGTTCTATGCTCCGCGGGACCTACTGATTCGCTCATCCTTCATCCTGCACACATCGCGGGATGTGCTGGAGTATCTGCAGACGTGGCTGGATATTAGTTATCCACTGACAAAGGTGGACTTTGTGGCACTGCCTTCTCTGGACCGCAACATGATCTCCTCCCTGGGCTTGGTGACCCTGAAGACGTCGTTCCTAACGGATCCCAGTTCGATTACCTCTGAGCAGTACCAGTTCAGCGCTCTTCGGATTGCAGAGGCAATGGTGCGGCAGTTCTTTGGAGGTATCACCTCCCGCAAGGTGCTCAAGGATGTGTGGCTGTGGGAGGGATTGATTCAGTACTTGGGCATCCATACCCTGGCTCCCCTGCAGGAGAGCTGGCCCCTGAGGGAAATGTACCTGCTAAAGATGGCCACAGCAGCACTGGATATCGACGCCATCCAAGGATGGGATAGCATTATGAATGGCACCAGTCACGATGGCAATAATGAGGAGTTCTTTGTGCAAAAGACGGCGGCCATCTTCTCCATGCTGCACACAGCCATTGGCGAGGATAGGTTCAGAGGGTGCCTGGGCTCGTTTCTCAAGGTGAATCGATTTAGAACCGCAGAACCGACCGATCTGTGGACCATTTGCACCAAGAAGGCCAACGGTTCGAAGAACATCAAGGACATGATGACTCTGTGGACCCACCAGCCAGGCTTTCCGCTTTTAACCGTCACCAAAATGGGCAACAGCATTTCCATCTCGCAAAGACCTTTCCGGCCCGCTGACTTTCTGGCTATTCACGATGAGTCCTACGATGGGAATAACTATAACAAGACCGCGCTCAATGCCACGGATATGCCCATTACGGTGCCGCCCACAACGCAGGGAAGCAAGCACAAGGCGGCGCCGCACATGAAGTGGATTTTCCCGGTCACATATGTGACGGATATCAACAATGTCAGCGAAACCCTCTGGATGCAGAATGTGGATGGTAAGTCAGGCTAAATCTTTAACATTTCAAAATAAATAAATTTATTCTTAATCCTTTCCCAGTAACCTTCAATGTCCCGGAGAACGTGAAATGGATCAAAGTAAATGCCATCCAGAACGGCTACTACCGAGTAGTTTACAACGACGACAACTGGGCGAGTCTCATTGAGGAGTTGGCCGCAAATCCCAATCGCTTCACCAGCGAGGTAAGCTCTCCAGGAACTTAATTTAAGAACCAAACTTAAACGATTTCCCATCAGGATCGACTGGGTATGCTCTCGGACGCCTTTACGCTGTGCCATGCCAATCTGCTGCCCTGCGAGATCACCATGAACATGATCCAGTATCTGCCCAGCGAGACGCATTACGGACCCATGGCCCTGGCCTTGAGGCATCTGGAGAAATGGCGACGCATCCTCAAGTACTCGGAGTGCTTCCTGATGCTCAGCGAGTTCATCAAGATAAAGATTTCTACGGTGATGGAGAAGGTGGGCTGGTCGGATGACGGTGATGTGGCCACCAGGTGAGGAGAATTGCAATCTAAAACTTTAAGATTTTTAACCTTAATTATTAATAAATTTTAGACTAATGCGTCCCGAGGTGCTTTTGGCCTCGGTTCTGTGGGAGGACAACGATAGCATCTTCAAGGCTAAGAACATGCTTAACCAGTCTCTGTACTACAACGGTTCAGCCATTCCACCCAATCTCAGAGAGGTAAATATTCATTGGATAAAATATTAATAGAATTTTCTTTAATAACTTTTTCTGCTATCTTTACCCAGGTGGTTTACACTGGAGCAATCCTCTCCGGCGAGTACATCTACTGGCAGCACTGCTGGGAGCGCTTCGTCACTCTCCAGCGAACATCGGAAACTTTTGTGGAGCGTATGCAGCTGCTTCGGGCCCTGGGCAGGACCAAGGATGCCTGGCTGCAGAACCGCCTGCTGTCGCATGTGACTATGCTGCCCACCGAGGAGGTGGTGCAGGTGCTCAAGGCCATCGCTGGCACGCCGACTGGCGGAGCCATGGCTTGCCGCTTCCTGCAGGCCAAGTGGTTCGAGCTGGAGAAACGTCTCGGGCCGGGCACGATCAGTTTTGCCAAGGTCATATCGGCCATTACCCAGTATGGAGCCACCAAGTTTGACTACGATGAGGTAAGTTGTTATATATCTTAGATCTCTTTTCCAGAAATATACTAACCATATTCCCAATTCCGCAGCTCAAGTCGCTGGTGCATCGCTTCGGCCGGGGTCACGGCATGTCCGTGCTGAACATGACCCTGAGCAGCGTGGCCTCAAATGTGGAGTGGGTGGCAAGGTCGCAGACGTCGCTGTACAAGTGGGTGGAGGGCAACCTGCACTCGCACCGATAGAGGAGGCGGGACACGGAGGTCCGCGCACAGTTCTCTCTTCAGACTCATTTGTAATTATGTTCCTCTCACAGACACGGCTCTCACGTGGACCTTGATTTCGCCGAGTTAACTAACACACTATGGATCTGTACTCTTTACCATATCATTGCCAGTTCGATCGATCTCCTTGGTTTTCTCAGTAGCTCTCCTATAAGTTTAGTCCTCAACGAGTGGCCTCACTCGACTGTAAATTACGAATGCTATGATCAAGCAGCTGTATGTGTATATCTATCCCAGTGGAGGAAACCATTTCTAGCACATATGTATGTGGATATCTACAACTGAACATAAGGATCTATCTATATATGTATATTGTATATGTATGTATATTTTACAAACCGAAAACAAAACAAAAAAGAAACCAAACATACTTAGAGCAATGGATAAACGTAGATTGTAAGCGAAGAAACACAAAGAACAAACATATTTTTTCATAAAAACAAAAAAAAAAGGAAACAAAACAAAACAACAGATGAGGCCACTAAATCGAGATTAACTAAATCGCTATGAATGCATTCTAGTCCCTGTATAGCATATGTATATTAGAATTAGTGAGCGGCCCGCTCGTGTGTGTATCCGTGTATGTGCGCATCGAAATATCACAGAACTCTTCCTTTTGTCCAAAGATAATTTACTTATCCAACATAATCATCCTAGAACGCCTAGCTAAGGAGTCCTGCCTGACCAGGAGCAGAAATTCTTGATTAAGAATATATTTTATAAACAGTATTAGCTTCCAGGATCAAGATTAAATGCCATTTTGTCCACCAATTTGGTATGAAGAGTACCAGCGCAAAATCTTTTTGAATTGTAAGGACACAGAGTTGTTATACCTACAAGGTCAGATAACCAAAGGCTTAAAGACTGGGAAACCAGTTATAATCACAAAAACTTGTTCAATATTCAGAACATACATTTTTAGCCCGACGATATTCTTAACTTTAAAATCAGATTTAGCTTCATTGATATATGTTTATGGCTGCCATAGGTACTACTAACTCATGAATTTTTTGAGAAAAGATCAAAGAATTTTATTAAAATTTATAGAACTCTGTCATAAGATAGAATATATCCCCTACTATGCTTTGAGGTCAGGCAGGCAGATAAGTTAGGAGCTTGCGATACAAAATACCATATAGACATATGTACATACATGGCATACGCGATGTAGTTTGCTAGAACCCAAACCAGTAAATGGAAACTAATTTAACACTTTTTATTTACGCACTCGCATAAGACATCAAAGACATACAACTGATAAACAGATTACAACGTTCCGTAACTACGATTTACCATGTGTTTTCCGATTTAATCATATCGCTGGTTATCATTTGATTAGTGTTGAAGCGTCTATGCTGCCCTAAAGATAGCCAGGTCTTCGGATCCCAAGTGTTTGTGTAAACTGAGGGAAGCCGCCGACTTCTGTCACCCAAATCAGGGGGCTTTTGGCACGCCGGTTTGTCATTATAGCCAAATAAACGTGTATAAGTTGGTGAGCCACGATAAGAGAGGGCCGCGCGACAAGATTAGCTTGGGATGGGTCAGGTGCGTAGTCAAGTGGGTTATTAGGGGCTGAAGCACTCTGTGAAGTAATTAAAAACTGAGCAATAGGAAAATTCTACAAGAACTCCAGCGAGATAAACCCCAAAGGGATAATCAAAACCCCCCTTTAGCTACGCCTGGGATATGGCCGCTTCTCTCTCTATCACTTGTTAAGCGGATTCAAAGTTAAACCTTCAACCATTTTCGACTATGCTAATTCGTAAACAAAAATTTCATTTGAAGCATTTGAGATTTTTGAGTTGGTTTTAGGAAAAAAGAGGTGATTTCTGAGGATTATTAAATTGAAATGGCAAAGATTTGCTTAGGTAAAAAACACTAAGACTAACCCAAAGATACTCGTCATACTTGCAACAAAGTCAATCGCTCAGAAACCCCCAAATCGAAGTATAAATAAATACAGACAGCGAGAGAGAGAGATACAAAACACAAGCGAAAACAACTTTATTAGCGACAAAGATAGATCACAGTGAAAACAACAACAACAAAAACAAGTTTTGGAGCGATTTTACGGATTTTCGACAAATGTATAAACCAAACAAGCTAAACTAAAGATGAAAAACGAAAATAAACCCAAATAGAAATAATACAAAAAGAAGAACAGACAGCATAAGAGAGATACTAAAGACCCAGAAGCAAAACCCACATGGGGAAGAGTAGATAATGAGGAGATTTAGAAAGTTTTTACAGACCAACAAAAACAAAGAAGACTTTATTATGTTTTTACACAGCACTTGAGTTCATTGTTCGCCCATTTCATCGTCTAATTGTATTGTACAATGCATATCCGTCCACAGCTTTGATTGACTTTACACATTTGGGTTCCATTTAGTTCATCATCAGTCACACACCTCAGAACACCCAATCCCCTATCCTGCCCTCGAGCCCCGCTTTATCCAGGATTAGAAGAATGGCCTTTTCTTATTTCAATGATCGAGGATACGAATTCTAGTTAATTTTATTAGACGAAATTTTTTTGCAATCGGCATCGGTATATTAGAAATTATTAATTATGCATTGGCCATCAGGTTTTATGAAGAAATTCGTGTAGGGAAAATACAAACAAAGTGTATCTAGGAATGCAAATGGAAAGCAGGCAGAGCAACTCTAAAGACGTAAATCTAATTGTATGCTAATGATATATACACTTCTATATATAAATATATATATATTTACATAATGTAATTTAAGTCAAATGGGAATATTAATAAATGCGATAACTAATCTGTAACATGGTTCCATAATTACTTTCTCAGCTCCAAGTGAACTTTAGCATTTGGATAGACATTTATGTATATATCCCTCAGATGTCCTGCTGAATATCACAGGCCAGGCACAAAAGGTAATGCCTTGGATAATAAATCGTATTTACGGTCTGATAAAATCGCAATGAATTCGGAGTACGATTTATGATGGGAATGGCTTTGCACCTACGAAGCTATTGTTTGTACTCGTCTAATTTGTTGTCTTTATTTTCGTTAGTTGAACTCTAGAAAACCCCCGGAAATGCCTGGTGATTTGGTAATCACTGAATATTGATTTGGAATTGATATCATTGATTTACTAAGAAACTTAGGCAATCCATTAATCATCATAGTTTGGGTTATAAAGGTTTCCAGCTATAGCAAGTGTCTATATAATTAAAAAAGGGGAACTAATTTTAATACAAATATTTGGTAAAAATTTAAATAATTTTAGATGCTAGGTAAGTATTATTAGCCTATTATCTTATCACTAATCAGCAACAGCAAAATATTTTCTAATCTGTTGGTTAATTTAAGTTATTAGTACTTGAAATTTTAAAAATGTTGTTGCGACAAAATTAATATTTTAAAAGTACAAAGTAAAATTAAAATCATTTTAAATGCAAATGCAATCGTATTTTTCCAAGATTTTGAAATTATATATTTTAGGTAATATTGTTAAGATATTAATTAAAAATTTGGATACAACATTTTTTTTAGATTCTTATTCCTAATATTTAGTTTTTTATTTACATTTTCTGCTTTATTTAAAAAAAATCTTGAAATCTGGTCACCTTACCGCAACTCAAATACGCAATTGGTCACACTAACAGCACTGATAAGTGATCAATGAACAAGTTTAAATTTAGAAAAGCCAAGATAAAGGCGGTGATTCAGGGCCGCACCAAAGTAAGCGGAAGATCTCGTCTATATTCGACTATTGAACTGCGTCTGAATAGCACAGGTGTGTTTAGCGGCGGCTCAATTAAGAAGCTGTCGCACGCGCTGAGCAAAACAACAACAAAAGACGGGGGCCAGAGCGGTCAGCGCAGGCAGGGCAGCAGCAGCAACAGCGGCGGCGACAGCAGCGGCGGCGGAGGAGCACTTGTCTTGCCCTGCGCTATCTGCTCGCTTTTATCAGCCCCAAGCTCGGCGATTGGGGCCTCGGCTATGTGGCTATCCCGCACTCGGCTCCGCTTCCCTAGCCCCTCCGTCCGGCTGTCCGCTCTGGCTCTTGGTGCCGACACGCCGCCGACGCAAACAGCTGAAGCACCGAGCGACGACTTTGTGGGACATCGGCTTTTCAGTGTTTTTTGAACAGCCGTTCAGTGAATTACAAATCGACCCAGCTACTCGCTCGCTCGCTCACCAGCGCCGCTGCCCCCCACTTTCCCCGTGGCTCTCTTACCGCTCGCTCTTCTTGTGCATCGCCAGCTGATGGTTTGCTCTTAAGTGGAGAAAACACGGCGTATACGTAATATCTGTGACCAACTCTGCTCTCTTTTTGGCAGCAACCACAACAAGTGTTCGAGTGTGGCGGGCTTTTTAAAACAAGCAACAACAAAAACCCCCAGTGTTTTGAAACAACAACAGGCCATAAAGCCATCAACTTAGCAGCATAAAAGAAACCTAAACCAGAGGTAAAAATACAACTAAAAAAACCAAGATTTAAGTGAAAAAAGAAAAACTAACTGAAGGCGAAATAATTACACTTAATTCCGGGGACCCAACAATTGCGTCGTTAAACCCGTCGCCCCAACTACGACCTCACCCCTCTGCGAAAATGACTTCCCCGTGTGTGTATGTGTGTGTGTGCGCGTGTGTTTAATGTGTGTGTTTGTATTTGTATTCTAGGCATTTGCCCTAATCAACAAGTTCAATTCAATAGTGAATTTGGACAGGCCAGAGCTCTCTCTCTCTCTGACTGCTCCTCAGCCTCCATGCCACATTTGCAAATAGTATTCTATTTATTATATCCATTTCGTTGGAAAATTTGCGCACAAACAAAACTGTTTTGTATTTCGCATAAATTTACCGGCATGTGGTCATCATCAGTGCTGCTCGCTTGCTCTTAGTGGCCCCAAATGGGCTCTCTTTCGGGCGCTCTCTTCTACGAACGAAACAACAACAAATTGTGTGTTATAAATAAATATTTACATTAATTGTTCGACTCAACTGTGTTTGTCCGTGTGCCCTATGTGTGTATTTGCTAATGATAATGATAATGAAAGTTCCACAAGGCGCACAACAATTAAATAATATTGGAAACAATCAAATGTCCGAGTAACGCTCCATGAACTCTGAGTGAAAAATACAAATCTACCAGAAATGTACCTGTAACTTTGTGGCTAGTTAGTGTGCTATTATAAGCCCTTTATTTGGGCGGCCTCCCCCTCAATCTATTATTAAAGACTTTGTCACGACATTTCCTTAGTTGTTATTATTATTTAGCCCCCTGCCCCACGCGAATTGAAAAGTCAAACGGCATGACGATCCCTAGACACGGACAAACTGCCGTTTCTCACTCTCTTCCCTCATTTCTTATCCCCCTTTCACTCACCTGTTGATGGGACGCTGACAGGTAATTGCTAAAATCAATATGTACGGTAAGAATTCTCGATATCTGGCGGCCAGGGCTTGTGTTATGAACTTTGCTTATTTGTTTTCAACTTATATCTCGTATTTTTTCCACAATTTTTTTTTTTAATTATGCCCAACGTTGGTTGATTCAAATTATAAACTGCGTCAAGCATCAAACGACAGCCTCACACGGCAGTGAATAGCAGCAACAACAAGTGGGTATTTATTAAAATCAAGACTGACAAATTGGCTTACATGACGAAGCTTACAATACTCTAGCTTTGTGGGGAATTCAACTGGAATCCAGGAAGCTAAAGTCTTAGTAATAATAATAAAAATTCCTTTGAAAACATTCGTAGGGATTCGTCTTTTATATTACTGAATTTTCCATGTGTTAGGGGAAATAAGACCATAATCTAAAGGTAATATTTTCTTGGTTCGTCTCCTTATAAATTCATTTTAAAATTCTTAAATTTCTGATAGTGGTTTTTTAAAGATCATTTACTTTATTTAAAAAAAAACTTTAAAACTTTTTAAGGGACAATCTCTTAATATGTTTTTCCTTATTTCATTTAAATTACAACAAACCAAAGCTGAAAGCGCATCTTCCCATCACCAGAGTATTCCCATTTAAAAAAAAACCTTAAGAAACTGGTTTTGTTTTTTATTTTTTCGAGTCGAACAGATTTGCAATGTTGACTTGGTTTCGAGGAAAAAACCGTTCGATATTAACCAAGTTTGCATTGTGATTTCACTGTTTTATAAATGTGAATGCCTGGACCAGGATGATTTGCATAAATGGGAGCTGCTTTAGATATGAAGAATTTATCTCACGAGATCTGGATAAACTCTAAAGACGCTGTTGAATGGAGTGTTGTAATATTATTTTTAAAGATCTAGACGCTAAGGCAAATTACTTTAATTGGTTATTAAGCCGGCCAAGTATGTTATATAATACTTGATAGACTACTCAATTAACTTGTTACTATTAAATATTTAAATTGCTCAATGATTCTATTCCTAAATCTTTAAATTACATATGAATTACTATCAATGTTGTGTAACTTGTTTCAAAATTGTACTACAAATAAAGTATTGCCAATTATTGGAAACTCAGTTCTTAAATGTACTTTGCACCCAGTCACTTGCATTACCAGTTTAATTTATTATTGCCAATCAAGCAAGCTAAGATTCTTCTCTCCCGGTTTCGAGAGGTGTAAAACCAAACCTTTTTAGTTGACTTCACTTCCCTTTGTACTTGCCATTGTGCTGTTTTTTATTTTTTCGCACATTCAGATGAGTCATGGTCAACAAACCAAAGATCTCAGTACGTTTCCGAACAGTTAACTTTGCCCATTATAGAAGGCGGCTGTGAGGGAATTCCCAGAAAACCTTAAGCTGTTATTATCCCCTTCAAGCCATTTTTATTATTTAAACTATTATTAATAAGCTGGGGCCTGGAAATGGTTGGCATGAGTGCTATTTGATGTGTTCTCATCTTCTGGGGGGTCTTAATTAAACAGAGGGATAGTTGAGTACTTTATATATATGTATATATTGAATTAGGTACGAGTATGAAGAGAGTATCTGGCTTTAATTTTGATAGTAAATAACACTTTGGCATTTTCCGGGTTTCGCCTTATCAATTATCAGATGTATATAATATGGAAAATATGATAGTTAAATGTCAAGTATACATATATTTGTACTTTCCTATCACAAAGGATATTTGTTTAGTAATTACAAGAGATAAACTACTGCCTGATAGGATTTTCCAAAATAAATGTATCTAAAATGGACTTATCAAAGTTAAGAAAGATCTCCTTAACGGAGGTTTTCCTTATCAATCACTTGCAGAACTTAAAGTCATGACAGGTTCCCATAATTCAAAAATAAAACCATTTCTTTCTCTTTATGATTCACTTGTAGAAGCAATCTAATCGGAAAAACCTGAGGCCAAACATTGGCTGATGTAATTTGCATGCTCTAAACCCGGGGCTCACTGTATGTTTTATGATACTGATATTAAATACTTAGTACCCATACCCGTATCAATTGATAGATAGTGAGAGCTGGTTCCACCCAGTTATCTTTATTTAAGTAGTCACTGTTGTTGCAGTGGGGCATTCACTGTACTTATCTACGTCCGATTCCGTGCGAACGTGTGTAATCTCCTCCATAAATGGCAAGCGCAATCAAGAAATAAACAAACCATTTAACTGTGCTATATCTGTAGTTAGAATTCCACCAATCGAAAATCTCTTATCAGTATTTATAGCCCGGTTACAGTGAAAGTGCGATTAGTAGGCCGGATTTCAAAGAAAATTATTTAAACATTTAAAATTTTTAGAGGCCATAAAAATCGACCCATCCTTATCCTTATCTAAATGTGTGTGGCGCTCGCTTTCATTTCAGTTGACTTATTGACTCATCACCATTTGTGCCGGCTGAAGAGTAATCATGATCGACCTAGAGGACCTGCCCCGGCTGCAATCCCTGTCCCCCGCCAAGGACATCGAGGATACCTATCACCAGACCCAACTGTTACTGCCGGCCAATCCCAAGAAGAAGGTCACCGTCCGCGTGCCCATTGGACCACCCTCGAAGCTGGCCAAGCTGATCAAGCCCACGGTGGCCTCAACGCCTGCAGTTTTGGAAACACCTTCGCCTCCGACCTCGCTGGAGACACCTCCGACGCCGCCAGGTAGCAAGAATCCCATCTGGCGCGGTGGGTTCCACTTCACCACCCTGGTAAGTATTTCGAAGGGAAATATAATAGTATAAATCCAATTTGCCAGCACAAAGTGATCCCTTTCAGAACGCTCTATATCTCAAAATGACAGCCATCAATCTTAATTAGTTTCTATGGCTCAGTCCTTTGTGTAAATAAAAGGTATTAACTGTTTGATTCGCTCGGTGTGATGGGCATTTGAATGCCTAGATTTATTAGTTACAAAATCGAATATAATTTATAATTAAAGTTTTTCATTTCTTTAAAAAAATCTTTTTAAATAATATAAATATTATTAATGTGTAATTTAGTTCGAGTTATAAAAAGTACTTAGGGAATGACTCACTTAGAAACGTATATAATTGAAATATTTTTAAAATTTACAAAATAATTATCAACTTTATTATTATTCTCCAAAATATTCGTGTTAAATATTACTTTTTTTAAGGTAGTAATTAAAATTATACTTAAGATATTTAAATATGCATTTTTTAAATCACATTTTATGCCAATTTACAAATTGTATGGACACGTGTCCAAAGTTCGGCAAATTACATCTGCATGTATTTCTATTGTTGCTTAAGTAGTTACTCCACTAAAGCCTCGTAACCCAAACAATTAAATTATCTACTAAGAAGTAAAATAGCAAACATATTTAAATCAACCAAAAAAAAAACAGGTAAAAACATTTAAATTTAGACAGCGGCCAAACTCCAAAACGGTGTTTAAAAAGGAAGAAGAAGAACACCGTTTTTTTAATATGGAGTTTGGCCGCTGTCTAAATCTATAATTATTATCGAGATATCGAGATTAATCATCAGAATCGATTAATTGAACAAGTTTAAAGGGTTCGTGTAAAGTAATATGTCAAAACAAAGTTTTACACCTAAAATTACCTCATTCACTGACGATCTGGTACTTTTGGACGCTCGTGCACGAAAAGTCTGGCAACACTGGTCGCTCGTGCCCGTAGCGACCAGCGTTGCCAGATCGTCAGTGCACGATCGACCAAAAGTACCAGATCGTCCGTGAATAAGCCTGAATAAGCTTTCTAAAGCTTTTAGCGTGAAACAAGCTAGATGTGGTGAAAATCAAATTGTTGTTGCCAAGCGAAGGTGAATTTAGACGAACAGACGTTTTTGTTTTGCCGTGGCCGTCAATTGGAAATCGGAGAAATTGCCAAAAGTTGACAAACAAACACGTTTTTACCGCACGCAACGCAATTCAGCACCACGTAGGTTCGGCGGTAGCCCGAAGAGAGTGCCAAAGCGGACGCGGCGATAATTTCGCAAAATAACAGTGAAAGAGACGCGTAAAAGTGCGAAGTACAGGCGGCGCGCTTGACTGTGTGCGTAAATGTGTGTGAGCCGCTGGGGCTGTGTGAGTGCGTGTGCCGGAACAACAAATGGAAAAGTTACGAATTTTATGCCTGTGATTACACCCAATTGCAAATAATGTTGCATGCCCCATAAAATAAGTGCAACTCATGCTGCCATGGGGTGAAGTAAAGACCAACAGGCTAGCAACAACAGCTATTCAGCAACCGCGCGCAGTCTCTCTTTTTTCGTGCCTCTCCCATTCCCTTCGCTCAGCTGACAGACTGCAATCAGAGATAGTGCAAAGAAAAAAAACGAAGCTCGGCGATTTGATAAATAATTTGTTGATGCAAAGTGCAGAGCGAAGGTTGAAATGCTGCCGCCGGCTGCCAATTACTAACAATAAGTTGTTCTCGGCTCGTTCTCGAAGTTTCCAAATCGCGCATTTCAACGTTTGTTTTGCTCTCCAGCCCGCGTGCCTGCGTGTGTGTGTGGTGTGTGCTTCTCCATAAAATTAAATCATTTTGCATTTAATTAAATGCATTAATTGTTGCTACAAAGCGGAATCCGCAAGAAAAACAGCACTGCTAAGCATTTCTGTGCGAGTGTGTGTGTGAGCGTGTGTTTGGCTGTGTGCGTTTCGTGTGTGAGTCAGAGAAATAAGAAGAAACGAGCGATAAAAGCAAACAAAGGAATAAAACGCGATGTGCAGGCGCAATACACGAAAAATATTAGGCAGCACACAAAAACAACAAGCTCGGCGAAAATATTTTTGTTATTAACAAATGACGATTTCACCACGCACACGCACACACTGTCACTAAAGTGCGTAGCAGCAGACGGAGCGGAAGAAGAAGCAGCAGCAGCTGTCAAGCTTAACCGAACAATTTAAATGCAAATTGTTGTTAATAATAAATTGCAATTAAATGCTCCTGGGTGTTTTGGGGGAAAGGCAACGGAGAAATCACCTATAACTCGCCATAAATATGTGAATAATAAAATAAATTAAATGCGTGTTTTGCAGCCATTTAAAGAAAACAAAAGAAAGTGAAATATAAACAAATAAAGCACTGCAGAAAGTGAATACCTGCGTGTGTCTGTGTGTAACTGTAAACAATAAAGCATCATTCACCATTGTGCGGCAAAGGAAGAAGCAGCGTCAGCAGAAGCAGCAACAACACCTTCAGCATTTACTGCGCCGCAGCCTTTTACCACATCCAAAAAAACAAGGTGAGTGCACTGCAATTTGCACACTTAATCATTTCATTTCATTGAGAACTGCCCAATAGGCCTTTCGTTGTGTTCGTGTTTGTGAGCTAATCAAACCATTTTTTTTTTTTTGCCATTTTGCTTTTTGACTGATTCCATTTGGCCATTTATGTGCATTTGCTCAATTGGTTAAAAACAAAGAAAGTTTATATCGGGCCTCTAACAACACATTTTGGAGCATTTTTTGTTGGCCGTCCTTGAATTGGGTTTTTCACATCGCCACAGTGCGCACATTTTTAGCGAGAGCGTGAAGAGACCTTGAACAAGTTCAAGTTCACGGCGTTTGTCTGGGTCATTCCTTCCTCTATGCCCCTTCCTTTCACCACCCCCTTTTACGTGTGGGCGGTTGTCTGTTAACCCCCGGTCTGCTGGCGGGGGTTGGGTCAGGATGGGCATATTAAATGCGTAGTAGACAACGTCAAACTCTTGTTTGCGGCCCAAATCAGGAGGATAAACAAATCTCGGTTAAATTACCGTACAAAATTTCTTAGCTTAAGGTCAGTTTCCAGGAATTTGCAATTAAATTAATAATAAATGCTCTTGTAGTTGTTAATCTGGTTTATTTCTTAAACATTTATATTTTATATACAAATTTGAAAATTTTATTGATTAGATGTTTTAAACATAATGTTGACCTTAAAAATAATGATAAATATTTGCTCAAAAAATTAAAAGTTGATGGAAGATTATTCAGTCTCTAATTTGTTATTATGCTTTTCATAATGAACTTTCCTTGAAAATTTTTAACAAATGGGGACGTAACACTAATAATACAAAATATGGGTGTTATAGGTTAATAGGTGGAACTTCTTTCTATCAGACGTATGTCTTTTTATCAGTTGTAGTTGACCCATTTGTGTTTGGGTAAATATGCTCGTCCGCTAAACAGAAAAATCTATATTTATTTAAAATCTATTGCCTTGTCGCCACAACGGAAATAAGACAACTTTCTTTTGAGCACTTCCTTATTAACAAAGCTTAGTAACATCGAATGGCAAACACAACAAAGGCCGAACCTCTCGAAACAAAAGCATTTTCATTTAGCATTCAAACTGCATACGGCCTCATACATTTAGATAGATATATACTTTTGACATATTATAATGCTTACTAATTCCATTCTATTTGTTGACACATCTTGATCTGCTTACAGAACGAGCCCGAGGACACTCATCAATTAAGAGGAGCATTTGAAGATCGGGGATCGACGGAGGAACTGCGGACTTTCTGTTTTTGCGCAGATTTCGGAAAGCAGCGGAGGCGGAAGGCGGGACAAGGCGACGTCATTGAACGCAACGATCCCGGACAACGCAGCCGTTGAGCTGTTGTCCGGGACGGAGAGGAGGCGGGCGGAGGACGGATCACAGACGACACCCACGCATCCATTCGCGTAGATTGCACGATTTAGACGCAACACAATGATCTCAAACAAAAAATCGTATGCGATGAAAATGCTGCAGCTGGCTCTGGCCTTAAGTCTGCTCCATTACAATCCGGACTACCTGCTCCATCGCTGGGATTCGCAGCTGGAACTAAGCTCCCACGGCGATGGCTGGGAGCTGGAGATGCTGCGCTCGGTTCACCGAATGGACATGGACCAGAATCCGTATGGAAATAGGAAAGGATTGAGCCCCCGGATCGAAGATTTCCTCAATTTCGATATTCCCTCCTTGGGTGGCGTGGGAAACGGAGTGGGCGAGTACAAACTGCCCCAGCACTTCAATGGCAGCACGTTTGTGATGAATCTGCACAACACCACCGGCAACAGCAGTGTCCAGACGGCCGCCCTGCAGGATGTGCAGAGTAGCAGTGCTGCCGGCACGCCCAGTTCAGTGGTCGTAGGAGGGGCCAGTGCTCCAACCTCTGGAGGCGCGAGCAGTGGCTCTGCTCTGGGAGAAATCAACATAGACACCTCTTCGCTGGCCGCTGGAAATACCAACCATTCATTGTTGCATCCTGCTCCGGAGCTAGACATCTTTCTCTCACCACATTTGCTGCAGGATCAGCGCTCCATTTGGGAACAAAATTTGGCGGATCTGCAGGACTACAACGATCTCCCGCTGCAGGCCAGTCCGTATGCGAATCTACCTCTCAAGGATGGTCAACAGCAGCCTCCGAATAGCTCTCATCTGGATCTCAGCTTAGCAGCGCTTATCCATGGCTTTACAGGAGCAGGAAATGCTTCTCCCCTAAGCACCGCCGCTCTCAACGACAGCAACCCGCATCCCAGAAGTCTGGGCAGCATCACTGTTGAGCACCTTGAAGCGAACAACTCGGCAGGAAGAAATAGAGACTATGTGGAGGAGAGCATGTATTTGGGTCGACTGTTTGGAGAGGAGGAGACGGACGAGGATGAGAGCGAAATGGCCAGTGGAGCGGCCAACGCCTGCGAGGTGGAGGGACTGACTACCGACGAACCCTTCGGCAGCGCCACCTTCGCCAACGAGGTGATAATCGGAGATGAAGAGGAGGTAATCGCATTAAGTCATGTTTATGGTTTATTTGTAACCAAAATTGGTTAAACCCGATGTTATTGCCAGTCGCAATCCCTATGGTATGATTTTTAGACATTGATGCATTCTATTTTAAGTATATACATAAATTAGAGTTAACGGTCTTGAAACCGAGTGCAAGTTTAACTAAGAACACACTTTATTGTCTGGAAAACATATCTACATATTGGCTTAATGCTATTTCAAAGTATCCAGGGACAAAGTCAATACGCTTCTAAAAAAACTTTGCGGTAGTATTACCAATATAATACCTTGATATAATGTCACTCCGTTTTTCACGGCCGTATTTTTTTGTAAGTATCAGCAGGCAGGAGATAGGTCAAGGTTTTTAATAAAAGCGCAATGCCCATTTTTCCAAGTGTAGTTGTAACGATGATGACTTTGATTTGACTGATTAAAAGCACTCGTAAGGCACCACCTGCAGAGCGTGTGTGTGTTTTTGTTGTGCTCATTATCAAACAGTGTTGCTGAAAAGCTTTTTGCATTGCTAATGAAGAGTCGCGAACCCATCGCTTGACCCATTCTAGTCTGCCGTTTGATTTAAGCAGCTCTTCAGAGTTCTCCCCTTGATTTCCTCTCCATTTCTTTCGGTTGCTGTTAAGCTTTCTTTATAATTATAGTTTATATATTTAGGTTTCGCCGAAACCAATCGATATTCAAATGCTGCTTTCATTTTGTTGTGTTTTGTGTTAGCCTTTCCATCGAGTATGACAATTTTTTAGCTTATCAGCAGATAAGGGCACCAACTTTGTTTACACATCAGCATGACTGTTGCCACGGTTATCCACTGATACCTCCAATCTCGCAATGACTGTACGCTATCTAACCGTGGGTTTATAGGTTGGTTAATTCCCCTAATTGAAGGTAGTGATGAAAATCAATAGATTGGTTTTAGATTTGCTTGAAATATTCTTCATTCAAATGCTATAAAAATATACTTAACAATTTTCCTTTTGGAATAACACTTTTCTTTTGTTTGCCTTATATTTTTCGAGATCCATGCGCAACAACTTTCACCATCTTTTCGGTCACATAGTTCACATATTATATGCAAATACACAAACACCCGGCAATTAGGTCATTAAACGTTTTGACTGCGCAAAAACACATTTAAAACGCCGAGAAGAAGAAATAAAAAACGAGAAAAACAAGCAGACAAGATAAATTCATTAAATATGGAAAGGAGGGGTTTTTGTCAAAATTAAAATTCAATTTGATATTAATTATATAGCCGGAGTAAGAATTAAATAATATAAAATACCTGCATTGACAGTGCAGGTCAGGCAAAGAAGATGCTTAAAAAAGATGTGGCATTGTAGTCAAAATATTCTGAATTATTCCATACGAGGAATACTTTTGTTTAAACGTTTTTTAATAGCTTACAAGCTCATTCAATCGTGTGCGAATCTGATTTTATAGATATATATGTTTTGTAGCTGATTTTTCTCTTGTTTTTTAATTATTTTTAAAAATCGAATTGAATGTCGGCGACAAATGTGGCAGCAGTGCAGGCAGCAATTTCATTATTTGCTTGAGTTTGTGTGCGTTTTTTTTGTTTGTGCTGGCTGCTGATCTTGTGCGTTTTGCGAATTGCAATTTAAATATGCATAAATATTTATACTTGGCCTGGCCTGGACAGCCGCGACAGGAGAGAGATGACTAACTCTGTGTTATTTTTGATTTGTTCTGTTGTTTCTGTGTTGCCTGCAATTCGTTGTTGTCGTTTCAACATGTCACGAATGTTTTCCATTTTGGCCGATGACGGTTTCATTTTTTGCTCTGTCTTATGTTTTTTTTATCTATATATTGTTTGTAAATGCGCTCTTGAGCGATCACATAAACATGTACATATGTTCTTTTGATACGATCTAATTAAATGCATTCGAGCATTGCATAATCTTTGAATGTCTTATTCATTGGTTGCCTTTGTTCTTTAACTTTGATTCCAAGCGATTGATGAGTGGGGTGCATGAAGCTTCCGCCATTATATTGTTTATTATTAGACCAGGTCGAGGTCCAGGTGTTATTGTAGATTAGGGTGTATTTATATAATTATTGAAACTGGAGGGTGTTGGGCCATTAACTGCTCTGTGTAGCAATGTGGGATGCTTTAAAATCCATCATATTTTTTGTCAAAACTTCATTGAAAAATATATCTATAATTCTAAAGACAAACTACATTAAAAGATTTTCAAACAAATGTAGCGAAAAATAGAGATAGTGAAAATAATATAGTTAATTTTTAATAAAGATTAAACTTTTTCTTTTTAAAGCAACCTTTTGGCTATAAGCTGCCCCATTCGATCTTGAAAGATCCAAAAGAAACAGAAATTGCTTTAAAATTCCCAACTGGGTCACTCAGTAAACAAAAACTAAAGACAGATCAGTGTCTATGAAAAGAGTTATATCCAAGTCTTCTGCAAAACTTTTCTTAATGAAAGATTTACTAGGTATTTTATGGTTGAAAGCCTTCATGTTTTGTAATTGCAATTGCAATTGCATTCAGCTGGTCATCATTAGTCCATACACGGATATGCAAATGGAGAAGAATGGCGAGCGAACTAGTTACCGCCACAAAGAACACTAAATTGACAGGTGAATGTGTCACCTTCGGTACACCTCTCTGTCTTGCTCTCTTTTATAGCCACCAGGTGAGAGAGGTCGCTGGAAATAAATGCATGTACATTTTGTTTATGTGTTTGTGTGACCTCATCACACTCACTAACGTGGCTCACGAATTGAGCTCAAAACTCAAAAACTCTAGTTCGTTGAATGTCGTCCACCTCGCAGACCGACTCTCTTCCCCGCCGTCGCGCTGTCTTCCACTAATTGCAAATCTACAAAGCTTTGCTTTTTGCGCTTCGTTAACTCATTCGCTTATATTTCTGCTGTTGTTGCCGCTCCGCGTGTCTCATGGGTGTTATTTTTGGGGTCTCGGTCTCTCGTTTTGATTCAGCTTCGGAAGAATAAATATAAAACCTGCCATAAGCGCGAGTAAAAAGTTTCGTTGAACTTCGCTTTCGATACGTTTTCTGTTCGTCTTTTCAATGCTCTTGAGTCATGAGATCAGATCTCTTTCGCTTGCTATCAATCTCCTGAAGGGGTAACGTGATTTGCAATCAAACTTGTAATGCTTTCAAACGTTTTAACTGTTTATAATTTTTAGGTATGCCTTATCGGTATACCTTATCGATATACCTTATATAATGATAATAATTATAAAGACGGTTTGAAAGAAAAGGTTTACAATCGGTTTATTTTGATGCATTAATATTTTAACTCCCTTTTTTTTCTTTCTTATTTACCATCTTTGCTAAGAACAAACATTTAAAAATATTTATCAATTTGTTTTAATTTAGTGTTCCTTTTTTTTTATATTTTGAAATAGTAATAAAATGTTTGCGGATTCGTAATAATTTAATCATCCGATTTGTTAGCTCATTTTGCAATCGCTTAAGTTTATCGCTTATTCACTGTGATGCTGCATCTCTGTTTTTTTTTTTTTGTGGGTGTGTGGAAAACTTGAAAACAAAACGGATGAGGAAAACCAGCTGATTTGCCGGCATTTCTTACACACCACACACAGTCACATTCAGCAACTCTCTTCACCACAATCAGCAACTCACCGCCAGCAACATTTGTTGCTGAACAAATTCACCTCAAACACTTGGACAACAACCGGTTGTTGGCTGGGTTTCACACCCAACAAGCTTGCCTATCAAAGACAAACGATAACGATAACTTACGATTTGTACGTATCGTAATTTTCAAATTCAAATTTCTGATAAGGGAAATAAGCTATTTTTAAGGTTGTACTTGTTGTCTGCTACTTGGGTTGCCTAGGGCTTATCAGTCGCCCTGTTGCGCCTCTCAACCGTTCGAAATTTCTTGCAAAACAAACTTTATCAATTGAATTTAATCAAAAATTTGTTGTTGTCTTGTTGTATTTTTATGAGCCCCTCGAAACTGCTAATCGCAGGCAGAACCAGACCCAGACATTCTCGATCGCAACCAAAACGAAAGTTTCAGTCTGCGTTATGCCGATTTCCAGTGAATACGTTAGCCCGAGTCGTGTGAATCGCTATTTCAGTAATAAACAACCCAAACCCATCGAACGGAAGTTGACTTTCAGCCCTTGAATCTTCAGTCCGAATCGAACAAGATGTGTCTCAACGAGGAGTACAAATATATGCACATTTACCTAGCGGTCTGTTGTTGTCACTGACTTCCTATATATCCAATCCAGCCATTAATCTGTGTTTACTGCAACATAAACTTTCTATTCACATGGCCAGTGCACAAAGTGTTAGCAAAAAAAAAAAGAGAAGAAAAAGAAAAAAATTATGTTTATATGTAAAGCCCAGCAAATTGAAAAATAATTTGCCTGTAAATTACGTTGCATTTTCCCAACTTAATTACCTTTGCTGAGCCAAAAGAAGCCATGAAGAAGCATTCACTTGGACACATGGGTTTTACTTTGTATTTTTTTTTCTGTATCTTCTATTACTACAAGTTTCGTTTCCCACAAAGCTCTCTTGTTGGTTAATTTCCATAATTAAATACCGTTAATTACGGTTCACGAACTTTTGCCAAAGTGCCTTACACGGTTATAAACAAATAAATCTAAACTAAGGCGCTTAAAAAGTCCCATATCTTAAGGGAAGTTCAAAAAGAGAAGAAGTTATTAAGTATAAAATATTGTTAGATTGAATACTTAAAAATCTGTTGTCTAAATGGGAAATACTAATAAATACTCACTAATTTCTCTAGGTGCTCTTTGAGTGCCCACTCGGTGGGCAAAAAGTTCAGATGTCGAATTGATTATAAGGTAACAGTCGCAGGGCGAGAAAACTAAGCTACGAGTTCGAATTTGAAATTGATAATTGCAGGGAAAACCGTTTGGATGACACAAATGAACTGTTATTAAGGCCTAAAAGTTGGCCGACGCATCGTATGGGGGGTTGTTGCTGCAGAAAAAACCGCAAACAGGACACTTGAGGCTTGAGCAATCCGTCAGATACGAGTGTGCACATTCACACACACAAACAAACGAAAGCGGCTTTGTTGGTGGCACAATCCGGCAAACTCTTCTGAGGGCTTGACGAGCACATGATTAATATGCGCCACACTTGCTCGCCGCTCTCCCGGCTGCGATCTTGTGTATCCCACAGATACAGATACAGATGCTGAAGTGATCTCTGCGCTCTGCGCTTGTTCCCGGCCTGGGATCGCTCGTTGTGCCGTTCGTGCCGCGCTGTCAGTTCAGGTGTCATCAGAAAGATCTTTTGCCGAGGCTTTATTAATGACTCTTGCTAAAAGACCTGAGCCTTTCCTTTCCCTTGCTTCCTTTGAGGCCCTGTATCCCCCGGTTCTTAACGCTCGCCGCTTACTTTCTTTTGCTTTCACTTGACTTTCATGATTTGCCGCCCCTGCAGGATCAGAAACTCATTTATCTTGCTTGCTTGAACCTACCATTTTGTACGTACATTGTACATTGTACCGGGCATTCTGCTGTGGTCAAGTAAATCGGTGGAATCGGCTCGGTTAAGCGGACTAATTGCCGCCGCAAATGGTTACAAGTGTCAATATTTTGATGCAACATGGGGGGCACAGTGCAGCGCCTTGATTGATTACCACAGTCTTGAATCTCTTGTTGCTGCCCCCTAAAAGCGCAGACAGAATTTACAATAAGTAACCACAGGTGTACGGACATACTATTTAAATGTGTGCATGAAATTCCCGGCTACTCTTATCTCCCACTTATCAATGCCCGATTTCGTCAGTCGTTCAGCGGCTGCTCATTCAAAACTGACTGTCTCGAGAGCGGCCCACGTGTCGCTGGCGGAATTGAAAAGTTCAGCGAGAACTACAAGGTCACGGAGAGAGTTTCCCAGGCCCTAGCGATAAGAATTGGCCCATAAATATAGCCATAAATGTGAAACAAGGCAATGAACCAGTTGTGGGTAGAGCAATGCATCATTTGGAGGCAAGACAAATGGAGTTCACTGAACTCGATCAGGTTTCCCAGCTTCTCTTTTCTTGATCTGAGACATTTTCCATTCGATTTTCTTGGTGAAATTTAGGCTTTAAATATTTTCTTTGTGCTTTTTGGACCTGTTAAATTGTCACGTATTGCTCGAAATTCTATAAGTACAAGATAAGGTCGTATTTTCGACCCTAACCGATAAGATCTGTAAGACCTACACTGTAAAAAGTCGATTATGATAAAAAAGTTGATCAAAAATTAATTTAATTTAGATTCCTGCGAAATGGTATACAACATATTTTGAAATTCTAAAATTTATATGTTAGAAAATTTCAAAATATTATAAACTAGTTTCGTTGATCTAAAAAAATCAGAATTCGTTCTCTTAAATCTTTAAACTTTTCAGACCAACGAAAGTAAATTAAATTTCATTCATCTTCCTTTGAAGTTTAATTAAAAATCAAGTTTCCAATCAACAGCCATAAATAGCTATGTATATAGCATCTACATATATATGCATGTATCTGATGAACAACCCCCCGAAATGTTGAAAAAATAATAATAATGAAATGCCAGCAGGGGAGGACTCGGTGTTTGGGCTTATGTTCCCATCGGGGACCTTCTTCTTGCCTCTGCTCAATTTAATTGCTCATTTTTACCGAACATGCGCAAGGCACAGCAGCAGCAAACATTTCAAATACAGTCGTGACTCGAATAAGGCGAATTTTTTGAATATTTAAGCTGAATTCGATTTCATAAACTAGCTTCCTAAACTGGAATTGTTGCAAAGTTTAGTTTTTATTAGGGTTTTTTTTGAATAAAATATTTTTCTATACTATAAGTTCCTTATAATTCTAAATAACTGCAAAATAAAAACTATTTTTATATCGTCTCAACTTAAAATTTTAAAAATTTTAAACCGATCTAATCGAGCTATATTATTTAATTATTTAATGCTGTTGTTTTGTTTAAACTCAGCATTCTGTAACTAAAAACTCTAACGTCCTTTGTTAAAAATATGAAACTGTCTTTTATTCTTGACTTAGTTATCATAAGAAAAGCTTATAGCTGAGGTTGGGTTATGCCTTTAAAGCTAATTTTACCATCTTTTAAGAACAAAATAAGTTTTCCTTCGACTTCAAACCTTAAACCTTCAAGTAAACCCTTTCCTCATCAGAAGTCCCACTGTATGTAAGAGCACATGCTCCCTGGGGAATCGACTCTGCCAGCTGCTCTGCCGCGGCGCCGTCAGCGGTGGCGCGGCTGCAATTGATTGGGCTCAGCACACACACACACACTCACACACAGTGGCCCTTAATTTCACTGCCCTTCTGGCCTTTTCCCCGGGATGGATCTGGGGGAAGAGAGAGGGAGATGGCAGCAGAGACCAATGATGCCGCCGCCATATTCTGCTGACTAATCCAGGAGATAGGCGTGGCCCGCACACACACACACAGAGTAACAGGCACACAATGATTGATTACTTTTTGTTGCCACTGTTGGAAAACTTCAAGAAAGCCTCACGAAGGGCCACAAACTAGAAAAAAAAAACGCTGAAAACCAAATGCATGGTGCCAGAAAATGTCACACGAAACAAAAACCCCGAGAGAGAGAAAAAAAAAGAAAAGAAAATAGGGAACAGAAAAGTAACATTTTCCAAAGACTGGAGGGGGGACAAAACATTTTAATTAAAACATCAGAAAGTCCTTTGGCCGGACACGGCAATTGTGTCGCTAATGTCGGCCATTATCCTGTGATTATCCCTCTTTCAACCAAAGAAGTCGTATTCCCTAACAGAAGAACATGAATGCAGAAATGCTACCTGTTCGAGAGGAGCATACGGTTTTGCCCCGGCTTAAGAGTGGGCGAAAACGCCCCTATACTTCGACTTGACTTGGTCAAAAAAAAAAAAAGAGGAAAAGGATTAAAGTGGTCTCGGCCAGCGGCGTTAATAATGCATCATTAACGCTATAATTTGAGCTCGAATTCCTCTTTCTTAGTCACTCTCTTCCCGCCGTGAATCGGCAGAATTCGCCCAGAAACATCTTCATAAGCGATCCGCCAAATGCTTCGATTTCGCTTTGCCATTTCGATTCTCTTCCCAACTGAGTTTCGGCGAGTGTACCGTGCTCTTTGGCTGAAATTTATAGCCGCAAAATATTGTTTACAGTGTGAGTACGGCGGCGAGCGATAAGAGATCCGGTCTACGGCGTAAACAAGTCCCCTTTCGTCCCTATCCGTCCCCCGTAACAGTATTCACGCCATAAGAGAGTGCTCCTCCGTCCCCCAGAGACCCCCCTTAAGTCCCGTGAGTTGCCCTCGCTTAAATCAGCATTATAAATACTATATTGTCGCTTGGCAGTGGAGTTCCAACACTCTTCGTCCGCCCGCTGGTGGGTAGCTGTGGGTCCCATTGATAAGATTCGCCATTATCGATCATGGCTGTCCAAAAGAGCGTCGAGCACTCTTCGAGAGGTTTCCACGGGTTAAGGGAGCGCTGCTCGATGGGTTATGAGTTATAGTTGGGGCTGATAAGAATGGTGAAATAAGAGAATCTATATGTATGGGCATTGGTCGCTACATAGCACTCCTTTATAAAGCACCTGATCCCGGGTTTATGTTTAATATCCATCCTTACAGTATCTAAACTCAAAAGTTGATGGACGACGGCTTTTTATCTTTACGATGGTATTATATATTTTCTGGTAAAATAAATTTAAGAGAGCTGTCGGGGAAGTGGCAAAAAATCTTGTTAAGAGATTGCTTTTTTAGTTTAGGAAAGATTAGGTTATTTATAAATTAACCGTCGCGGTTCAAAATTAAAGTTCATTGCCATTATCAAGAGCTTTAATTTCTTTTTCTATATTTGAATATAGATTATTAATAATAAGTATTCCATAACCCTAAAGTACTGTATATATAATACAATATTTAAGAATAGTTGTAAGCCTTCTAAAGAACCTTTACACAAATATCCTTAACTGAAGATATAATAAGGATCACACTTAACTTTTCAGCAGGTCTTTAAAGTATTATAATCATATCGTAACAGTAGGGTATCTTCTATTCTCCGCTTTCCATTTCGCTGTGACGCAGTTTTATCTATAGCCCACACGACTTATCAGCAGAAAAGCGTAATGTAAATCGACATTATCATATTAAGTAAAGTGAAGCGAAGTGGGGAAGAGCAAAGAAGAGCAAACGAGGTCCCCATATGGACTATGAGTCGTCCGACTCTTGGAGCCTTCAGTCTCTCTTCGGAAACTAGCAAATGCGGATGACGTCGCGAGCAAATGAGATCGGAAACCATACAAATAAACAAAATACGCACAACACAGAGCACGGAATAGTGAAACTTAAAGATAAATCTAGCTATTGTGAACGGGAATCCTGAAAAGATGAGGGTGTTCATCCATAGTGATATACTGGTTAGACTTTTTGTGCTGGCAGTGGATAAAACTATAAAACTCAGACTTAATTGGGTTAATCTTACTGACGTTGTGATCCTTCCCTTGCAGGAGAGTGAGATCGCTGAGGTGCTGTACAAGCAGGATGTGGATCTTGGCTTTAGTCTCGACCAGGAGAAGATCATCAATGCCTCGAATGCCAGCGGCAATACCGGAGCCAGCTCCGCCAAGTCGAAGTACGGAGATGAGTCCAAGTCCTCGGATCCCTCGATGTCGGACTCGGCCATCAAGGATGCCAATGACAATGCCGAGAAGGAGGCGGGTGAAGCCTCTGTGGACGATATTGAGAAGCTGAAAGCTCTGGAGGAGCTTCAGCAAGATAAGGTAAAGTGATTTACATATGGAATTTCACAATATTTACATAGCCCCTGGAGGGAGGGGGGTGAATAGATAATGCCAAAGTCGGTTTTTGATGGTTGGTTATCTGTGACTATCAAATGTCGTAGTTTACTTTTATGGGAGCCCCAACCAATAAGCATTACGCTCATGCTCTGATTTATTTGCCAAACAGGACAAGGACAATGAGAACCCCCTGGAGGACATTACCAATGAATGGAACGGAATCCCCTTTACCATCGATAACGAAACTGGTAAGTTCCAGCATCAACTAACTAGCTAGTTACTAGACTCATAGACGAACTTACGATCTGGTTACATGTGGGCAGATCACCAACTCTTGGTTCTGCCCATATCTTATCTAGGATAATATAATTTCACTTTCAAAAATAACCAGAGATAAGCTTTTCAGAAGCAGGAGGCCTTCTGGTGGAGAGGCACGTTTCTTAGACAGATAAAAGCACTAGTTAATATCAGGGATTATGAATTATGTTTTTTTATTTTACAATGTGTCTGGTCGCAGATTTACATTTCCGAATTATCTTCTAAATAAAATCTAGATAATGTAAGATCCTAAGTTTAAAGAGAGAAATTAAATATTATATATATTTATTCTCAGTTTATGCCACTTTTAATAACATTTATCCAAGCATCTCCTCTACTTATTCCCCAAGAGAAAAAATCCTGGCTAATAACAAAAGAAAAAAAAAGAAGAAAGTTGGGAGAAAATGGCCTGCCAAAAAGATGGCGGCTGCTCTAATATAAACGAAAATGGATTATCCTGGATTCGCTGGGGGTTTAGTTATAGGAGGAACAGGAGTAGAAGGAGGTTGGTTTGCCATTGTGTGTGTATGTGTGTGTGCGTGTGTTTTCGAGACGTTTATAAATGAATGTAGGCATTCTGAGTTGACAGGCACGAAAATTAAAAGAAAAATGAGCTTTTTTTCGTTTCATTTGTGTGTGAAACAGCCCAGCGACCCACTCCACACAACCAACCCACCACCACCCACATCTCACATCCCAGCAAACGCCACAAAGGCCAAAGCCGATGGCTGCTGCTGCTAATCTGGTCTGCCCGAAACCGCGCCCCGTTTCCCATCCGAGCGGCCTGCCTTTCAAACAAACTTTGACACGCACACGAACTTTTATTATTATTAACCGTGGAGAAGGAGGAGACGCAGTGGGAGGCGGAGGAGAAGTCATGAGTTTGAGGGGGCCGGTCGGGCCAGCTCTTGGCAAAGCTCGTCTGGGTCCGAGACTGGCACTGGGACTGGGTCGTGCTGCCGCTTCTGGACGGAATGAGTCCACGACAGAGCCAGAGTCGGAGGCAGATACGAGACCGAATCCAAATCCAAAGCGGTGGCGGTGGCAGTGGCAGTAAAAGTAGCTGCCACCGCGCGTCGCATAGCCTCGCATGCAACATTTTTCTTTTGAAAAATGAACGAAACATGATTCGCCAAAATAGCTCAGGAGCACACATACACACACACACACACATACATAAATATATAAATAATATATAAAGAAAGAAGTGCTATATACCATATGCCATGTACACGTATTCCGGGAGGTTTGAACTCAGGGAGGTGTATATGAATGTGCAAGGCCTCAACTTTGGCCTATAAGCTGTACTCAGTCCGATTTGAGACCCTTTTTTTTGCTTAAAAAAAACAGGGACGGCGCCTTGTTCATAAAAGGGGATGGACTTCAGTTTATTTTTGGACTTAAGAAGTTATTATATTTTGCAAGGACATAAACTTGGCAATACTACAAGTACTACAATATGGGATATCAACCACGAATAGGTTTTGAAAATAAGCTTAAAGTTTAGTTTTAAAGTTATTTTTTTCACTGAAAACTCATAACATTTGAGATTGCATGATCACACCTTTCAGTATCAAAAGCTTTGTAATATTCGTTCTGTTCCCATAATTGATCCAAACTTGGTAAAGAGAGCTATTGAAAAAAAGATTTTGAGAAGTTGGTTGAATTTGGTTTCGATAACTTTCCTTTGAATCTGTAAAGGAGAACAAAATTCTGCCAAATCATTGGCAGTCATTAAATCAAAAATCAGTAAAATCTGATTCTTGAATTAAAACGTTTTAAAATGTAAGTATAGCATTGATTAACTAAAAATGTATATTAAAATGTTGGTTGCTCTGCTGTGGCTTACATTGGTATGAACATTTAATAGAAATCAGGACTAGTATATTCCCTTTTATATTCCTGCTGCCTTCTGGCCTCATCCTGAGCTGGCTGGCTCATTGAACTGGCAAATCGAGCAGGAGTAGGAGGAAAGAAGCTTCTGTTAGGGCTTACCTTCCACACACACAAAAGGTCGCAAATCGTTTGCCACCATTTTGATGGAATAAGGGAAGATTGCGAGCAGTGGCGGTGGTGGGTAACAGCAGTCACCACCACCATGTTGGATATATATTTCCTATTCACGAGCATCTATGCTGCTGCTGCTGCTCATAATGATTGCTTCGTTTGGGCCATTTATTAAAAATCCATTGATGCGCGCCCACCTCCTACTCCGATAGATAGATTCATATCGCATTCGAGGCACGCATTCACACGCACTCGCACTGCCACAGACCTTTGTCTGCGGGCACCGGGGCTTCGATCTCGGATTTGTGCGTATCCAAATTCCCCACGGATCGAACCCAACGAATCTCCGTAAAGTCTGTAGCCTTTGGCGGCATTATCATCTCCATTGTTCGGCGTCCGAAATAAAACGACTAAAATGAAAGTCATTTTTCGGTTGCTATTTCAGTGTTTGTGCCCGTAAATGGTATTCCTTAGCCGACAGTATTGAAGGGATTTTCTATTTTTCTTTTTTAGAATTCATAAATTCCATCTTCCGCACGTTCAGGTGAGTTTAGTTCGTTGTTCTTTCCGCTTTTCACAAGTTTTTCTTCATTAATTTTCAACTCCCGGCTCGAACCTTTGGGCCAATGAAGTTGTAACTATTCTGGGACATTTTCCTGCCCATTGTCCTGTCAAGGTTGCCTTGTCATGGGGACATGTGTTCCTCCCATTCCAGTTCTAGGATGTGACACGGTGGTAATTAAGTCGCCAGAAGTACTCGTATCTCTCGGATACCGTTTCGCTTCGCTTTTTATCGCCTGTCCTCCAATCAGCTCGCATTTGTCTCTGATTTTCTATATCTATCCATGCTTATATATAAAGGTATATACATATATATATCTTCCAATGAATCACAAATCTGATTACATTCGTTGGCTTTCAATTCGATTTGGTTTGTTCTTTTGCTCCGTTCTCTGTTGTTGTTTGTTTTTTTTTTTTTTTAGCTTCTCAGATCGTTGACAACTTTTGGAGCGATGACTTGGCCAGAAGTTTTTGGTTTGCGTGGTGTTGGTATCACAGAAAAATGCTCTTATTCTCAATTATGTTATAGATATTTTGGTTTTGGTTTCTTTTTCGGTGGCTTAAATTCCATTATGCAATCAGTTAGGCCGCTTGCCGGCTGCCAAGCTACGCAAGTTTATTGACCACAATCAAGTTTGTGAGAGAGCAGAAGAAGGGTTTGGTTTATTGGTGGGAACTGAAAGTTCAATTCTTTTCGAGAGTTTTAATGCCTTTGGATGAGGAAAAAGACACGTTTCAAGAATTTCTCTAAGAGTCTAAGAGAGTTATAGCTGTAACCTGTTAAATACCTCATTCTTAATATTAAAGCATGCCCTTTGAGGTATATAGCCTTTTCTTCTTCATTTTTTAATTGGTTTTAGTTTACTTTTTGTGAGTTCATAATTAAAACCGAACTGAGACCTGGAGTTATCATTTAATTTCCTGTCCATCGTTGGGTTCTCCGAGGCTAACATCAAAGAAAACATACGACGACGAGGGTTACTTTATTACAAAACATCTGGTGCAGTGGTGCGCGGATCCAGCGGTGCACCTATTGAGGATCTCTGCTCCTCTCGCTCGCTCCGGTGCCACCTTAGGTGCTCCTCCTGTCTGGTCTGTCTGGTGGCCTTCCTCGACTCGCCCCCGCTGCTGTCTGGCAATGCGAGGGAGCGGACCGAAGAAATTGTTCAAATTCTACGTGGTCAGCATTACGCTACAAATTTACAAAAAAAAAGGGAAAATTTACATGCTGACAAAATAACAAACAGACAGGGAAGAGAGGGGGCATAGGTGAGCGCTGCAGTCCTGACCGGCTTTATTTTTGGTCTAGTCTGGACTGGACTGGCCTGGCCTGGTCCGCGCGTCGACGATTTTATGCTGCATAATCGTATCACTTTCAAGTGTTTTCGTCTTGCGCAACCTTATTGCCTCTGCGCCCTCTCTTACCCTCTTTTCGTTGCCAAAACTAGACGAAAATTGCACAATTCTCTGAAATTTGCAGTTTAATTAGCCGCCGAGTGGTCCAAGTACTTGACCCATTGAGTACTCATGTATGGCTTAAGGATTACGAAAGTTTTTCATCTTCAGTGTAAGTTCCAATGTTGTGGTATTCAAATGAGAGTCTATTCAAATGAGCAGCAGCCAGCGAACCCATTCATAAAGTTCATTCAAGCTTCTTTTTGGATTCGGATTCCGATTCCGATTTCAATTCCGATTTTGTGGCGACTCATTAACAACAAAGAGTGTGGCTGACTTCTGCTCGAGTCTATGGCCATATCTATACACATGCCTGTTAACAATACTGTCCGGCCCTGCCTCCTTCCGACTTGGCCGGGCTTCTTTTTAGCAATTTCATTGTTGACACTATCCGGAGCTGAAGCCATGGATCTGTCCTGTCACAATTGTTGCTCACTGGGTTTTTGGTTTGCTCTGATTTCGCGTCTTTGGGTTGGAGTTAAAGCAAGGCTTCATACTAATGTGTTTCAATAATAAGTTGGTCTTTCACCGGATACGAAATCTCCATCTCCTTATATCGCCGCCACTCTCAATCAGCATCGGCTTCTTCTTTATTATTATTTCTTTTTTTGCGTCGGCAACAATTTAAACTAATTAAGTTGTAATAAAGCACTCAAGAAAACGCTCGAAAAAAGAAGAAAAACATTGGAAGAGAAAAAAAAGATATGATTAACCAGGCAAGTTTGGCTTGTTCAATATATCTCTGTGCTCTTTTCCTACTGTTTTCTAGCGGCGATGAAAAAAATTATACAAGCATCCAATCGAAATGCCCCCGCCTCACCTCGTCGATGATGCTGCTAATTTTTTCAGAGCGAACCGCCGAACCCCAGCGAACTCAACTGAAGCGATCCGATCCCCGCGATCCGCCTCGCCGCCTGACCAATTTCATTTATTTTTTTTCCGCACTTTTTTTTTTTTTTAATATTTGAAGTTCACCAAAAGCGTTTGCTTTGGGACTCTTCGGCTTTTTAGCCTGGTCTATTAGTTCAGTGGCCCATTAATGTGCATATTGCCTGCTCTTTTACTCTCTTTTCGGTGATTTTACGATTGCGGTAATTGTGTTAATTTTTAGGGTAAATAAGTTGGTATTTTGATTGGGCTTTTTAGAGGTAGTGGGGATATATTGGGGGGAAGCTACTATATTGGGGTCACTGGAAAATTGCACCTAAATTGTGCCAAATTATGAAGGAAACTAAAGTCATAATTAGACTGTAAAAAACCGTTTTCAAGAGAATGTGTAAAATTGAGTCTTAACTAGGAATCAATATCCTTTATTTATTTGAAATGTAAAAGATACTAAATAACTAGAAATATTTCTTCATGTTTAAATATTTTCTGAGAACCTTTTTTATTACCACTTTTACAATAAGATCCATGTTTAGAAAAACCTTTTCAGCTTTTCACTGAACAAAGTATCTTTGTAAAACAAATCCCTTGCTTCCTTCAAAACAGTACTATTAACATAATCGTAAAACCCCTCACCGCTAGCAACAAACACCAAAAAGTATATATTATTATTATTATATTTTATTAAACCTCGTATATAATATTCGTTAACCAATATAAAAAGTAAAATGTGTGACTCGGACTCGGGGGAAAGTACCTCTTCGGCATCGTCGCTCATCTCGCTGCGTTCGTCTTCGTCCTCGGGCTTAAGTGAGTTCGTTGATGCCAAAATAGAGCTGCAGGACATATACCAGGATTTGGACAAATTTATCTCTTCACTTATGATCACCGTCGAGGGGAGTAATCTGTTGGATGAGGCGGAGGAGCAGCAGCAAATGGAGCAGCTCCGCTGCTTCTCCAGCAAAGTGCAGGCCATCGAAAAGGTCATGTCCAGAGATCGAATGAAGGTGGCCTTTTTCGGAAGAACTTCGAATGGCAAGAGCGCAGTGATCAATGCCCTGCTCCATGATAGAATATTGCCCAGCGCCATGGGTCATACAACCAGCTGCTTTTGCCTGGTGCAGGCCACCGCTGATGAAGAGGATCCGGAGCATGTGCGGGTCGAGCAGGAGAATCTGCACCTGGAGCTGGGTGCTTTAAAGGAACTGGCCAGTGCACACTCTCCGAGAGCCATGAAACCCAGTACCCTTCTGCACGTGAATATGCCCAGGAGTCGCTGTCGCCTGCTGGACTACGATGTGGTTCTGTTGGACACGCCTGGCGTGGATGTAACAGCCCAGTTGGATGACTGCCTGGATCGTTATTGCATGGATGCCGATGTTTTCATCCTGGTCCTTAATGCAGAGTCCACAATTTCACGCGTGGAGCAGCAGTTTTTCAAGGATGTGGCTTCGAAACTCTCGCGACCAAACCTCTTCATCCTAAACAATCGCTGGGATATGGCCAGCAGCCAGGAACCGGAAATGGAGTTGCAGGTGAGGGATCAGCACATTGAACGGTGCCTGAAGCTGCTCATCGAAGATTTGGGCGTGTACTCAACTGTGGAGCAAGCGCGGCGGAGGATTTACCATGTCTCGGCTCTGGAGGCTTTGCAACTGCGAAACGGATGCAACCAAAATCCCACTGTACCAACGCAAGAGCGATATCTGGAGTTTCAGAGGTTTGAGACTGATTTTTCAAACTGCCTGGCGCACTCTGCTCTAAAGACCAAATTCGAGCAGCATTTGCTGAGTGCTCTGGATATTCTGGCCCAGTTAGAGGCCACGTTGATAGGTCCTCTTACGTCCAAATTGGGCCAACTTTTGAAGGAAACTGGTGAGGAAGCAAATAAGCTTTATGCGGAAATAAATGATCAGGGACTCCGAGTTGTGCAGCGAAAGGAAGAGCTTGAGGATCAAGTCGAAAAACTGTGTGAGGAGGCCCAGGCGATGGGACAGCAGGTGCTGAGGGATCAGATCACTAGAGTCCTTCCCTCAGCCGTGCGATCCTTTTCGCAACCGTTTCATCCCCAGATGGTGAGACAACTTGGTCACTATCAGCGATCCCTGAGTGCCCACTTGGAGGTCCTACTCACGGACGAGATCCTAGAACGCCTTTCTATACCGCTGCAGGTTAAATTGAGCCAGCTGGAGCTGGAAGTGCAGGGTAAACCCAATGAGGAAACTCTGAATTGGCAGCTCATCTACGGACTGGATTGCCAATCCCTGATGGGTGACTTTCAACCTGATCTGCGATTCCGTTTCTCCTGGGGATTGGCTGCGTTTTGGCAGCGCTTCCATGGAAAGCTTTCGCTGCCCGCCAATTCAGTGCAGGAGCGAAAGCTACTCAATGGCCATAAGGAGGTCACACCTGCTGCTGCTCCTCTGATCAATCCAAGTCAGCTGGAGATAATAGCATCCCTACTCAAATCGGATGGCTCTCTTGGAGCCTTACTACTCAGTGGAATCGCTGTTCGCTCGGTGGGCTGGCGGGTGATGCTTATCGTCGGCAGCCTCTTGGGATCCATGTACCTCTACGAGCTGCTCAGTTGGACGCCATCCGCTCAGGAGCGGAGCTTCAAGTCTCAGTACACGGAGCACTTGCAGCGGCATCTGCGGGCGAGAGTGCAACAGACGGCAACCGGATTCGAGCTACAATTCAAGCAGCAGCTGGGAAAGGTTCAGAACTCTTGGACAGACGAGGTTCGTCTAATGGGGATGGACTTGAACTCGAAGATTTTAAAACTAAGGGAGCGACTGAACTCGATGCAGGAACTACAGCTGAAGTTGAAGGAGTTTCGTTCCAAGGGAAACATGCTGGCGATTCGATTGCGGGAGTTTCAAGAGCTCTACTTGGCAAGCAGGGTTTAAATTATGAGGGTTTAAATTTGAATTTTAGTTTAGTTTAGTTTTATTTTTGTTGGATTACATTAAATTATACTTATAGTTAACCTTTAAAATTATATTATATTTTTATATATATTTGATGTGGGGGATCCTTAGAGCTAAGAGAAATTTACATATAATATTTGGTTTTTGGGTTGAAATTTTTAAAGAATAAAAATAATAATTGCAATATATCTAAATTAATTGCATTTATATCTTTATCTATTCTGGAGCTAAAGATATTTTGGGAATTCAATTTATATTTTCTAGAAGAGAAATTATATTTTGGACAAGATATTCCATCTAATAATTCTAATATATTGGATAAGAAGCTTGTATTTTCTAATTAGAAGTTTATTTTTTCAGTTTCTCTATTCATTTTCCCTGTTTTGAATATTTCTCTTCGACTTTAAGATCTTATTTGATTTCCGAAAATCCTTCCATGCAAATTTAAACGCTTTTTGTTGCTTTTGACTGTTTAAATTACTTGATTAGATTGTTTTTTCTTCCTCTTGACGGCTTGTACACACATACACACACACATAGCCACTGGAACGGGCTGTGGAACATGCACATGCTGGGAATAAGAACAAGAGAACCAGTTTTGGCTTTTTTGTAGACTTCAACAAAGCGTCCATGTTGAAGCGGCCAAAAGCAAAAGTACAGCTAAAAATGCACACACACAACAGACATACACAATTCAGAGCCAAGCCGAGCTCTTGGCTCCGCCCCTCACTCATACAGACACACACACTCGCACTGCGCATGAACAAAGGCAGCTCAAAACAGGGAGGAAGTTCATACAGTTGTCTCGCTCGCACACATGGCTTGAGAGCGCCATTTCTCTTGCGCCGCTGCCAGCGTCGACGGCGATGGCGGAGCAGTGGCCGCGACAGCGACAGAGGCAGAGTGGCAGTGGCAGCATTTTAGAATCGTATTTGAATTTTTATAAACGCTCGAGAAACGTTCGACGCTTGACGCGCGCGCAGAGAAGCGAATCTAGTGGCGACTGGCCGACCAAGGGTTAACACAGTGAGAATTTCGGGGACTAAAAACGTGGGCGTGGACAAGAAAAAAGGACTCTGTATCGGGATCAAACTGGCGAGCTCCGCAGAGTGACGCGGCATTCCGAACCAACCGCTCAAATCGCTCGTTCTGTGCAAGTCAAGTGTGTTACCACGGCTCTTTTTCTGCCAATTAGATGATTTGAGAAATTCTCAATACTATTCAAAAATAAAACCAAACCAATCGACAAACTGTGTCAAACATTAACAAATTACCAAACTATTACGCGTCTGCATTTGTGCAAAAAAAAAAGATACAAAAGTGAAAGTTACCAAATCAAAAATACATGCCAGGCTCCACACTCAAGTGACCATTGTGCGATTCTAAAAAAAGCCCATTTTCCACACACACACGAACCCAACAATCGAATTGTGCAAAGGAAAAAATAAAAAATAATAAAGCCAAGATAATAAAGGCCTGTCTGCAGCGGAAACGGCAATATCGCAGTTGCGATTGGATTGCTATTGCTATTGCCATTGCTGTCGGTGTGTTGCCATTGTTGATTCTGCAACATTTTGGCTGTCAAAACGTTACATAATTGTCAAAGTGTTTGGCCAAATATCAACAACAATCAGCGCTTTATTGCAACGATTTGTGTTCAATCTGCTTACAAAAGCCAACAACTACAACAACCACAAATCAAAAACAATTGACGAAGAAGAAATAAAACCAAGTCAAGCCACATTTGACTTTGCTCCTCAGACGTTTGTGTTTCTTGGATTATAAACACGAATATTTCACAGATATCAACATCGTCATCATTGCAGCATCCCTTGAACTAAAAAAGGTTCGTAAAGATCCATTGTTTGGTTCGAAGATGTGACCGAATTTCGAACTTCATCGTATGAGCTGAATAAAACAAATAACTGGTGCCCATCGTGGGGCCAATTTCTTTGTAGACTTAGAAATGCAAAGCCCCAAATTCTTATAGTATTCTTATAACAAGTATAGCATTGTAATGGAAAATTTATAATTCTTCAATAATTAAAAAAAAATAAATAAAAGCTATAACTATAGGCCCCTGCTGTACCTTCAATTAGTTATTCAATTCCCGATTTGTTTCTAATTCTTCCTAATTAACATTTACCTATAAAACTTCTTATAAAATCAAACTTCTCAGCACAAATACTTGAAGGAGCTTATTCCTTATTTACTCCGTCGATTAGGCCTACAATCTAAGCAAACAATTCAGATAAGTATAGAGCATTAATACCACCTCAAGCCCCGCCCGTTGCCACCCCTGTGAAAACATCAAGTAGCCGTCGGTGTTTAGTGCTCAATCAACCCCATTAGCGGCTCCATTACGCGACTCTCCCACCGCTTTCACTGGCCTTCCTTCCGTCCGGGCAAACTTCCTGAAAGGTAACCGAAAATTTGACCAACAATTGTTGGCCCCATCAACGCCTTTCTAAAGCCTTGTCGCCTAATTGCTGGTGACAGTTGACAGTTGCTCCTGGTCAGCCCCGGCCAGTCCGGCCAGAAAACAATGCACAGCACACCAACCCAAAATCGAATAATATTTTCGTTGTCGTTTCGGCCACAAAGCGAGCAACCAAAACATAAAGAAACCCACGAAAAGGGAGACAAACAGCCAGCCCAACGACCAAAAACGATAAGTAAACAATTCCAAGCCAACAGCCGGGCAACCCACACACGCATTCCGAAATTAACGGACCACAAATTGTTACCAAAAAAATAAGAATTAAATAAGGAAGGGAGAACCCTAAAATAACAGGCTTCACGATAGCAAGCCGAAAAAAAACATGGCCAGAACAGAGGAGAGAACAGAACACAACAGAACCGAATCGGCCCAAAATGGTTGCGATGGAAATTGGGAAATGGGCAGGGGTATTCGTGTTGTAACCAATCGTAAGAATAACAAAACATTTGGTGGAACTGTGTTGGCCGGGTCCAGAGACCCGAACTGTTCCATCGGCTGTGTTTATTCTAATTTTTGAACCCGGACTCAAGTGCCCCAGCAAAGGTCGTCGTCGTCACACCACTTGAGTTCGTCTCTATCTCTCACTCCGACCTGGACTTTCCTACTCTTTCGACCAGGTTGCGCCCTCTTTTCGGGCCTACATTTTTTTGGGTTTTCGTTTTGGCTTTATCTAGATGTTTGCCCACGTTTGGTTCGGGGTTTTCCTCTTCGTGGAACTCGAGTCGATGTTAAGTAGTAATTTTCTGATAATGTTCAGAGTTTCCCCACCCCACTCGACTCTTGACTTGGATTTCCCGAGAATTTCCAATGCAAATATTTGGCCGCCATCAATATTTGAGCAGGAATCAATTGTCTACGAGTCAACTGTAAGCGATACACTTGAGGGAAGCTTTTATTGTTTTGCCTCGACTTTAGTCCGTGTTTAGTTTGGATATCTCGGAGCTGTCATAACTGATCATCAATTAAGACGAGCCGGGGAAATCGTTCATTTATTGCAATATTTTCAGCTGCCGCTTCCGTCAGGCGTCTTGAGTGGATGCGATCTCCCAAAGATCACGTTTTTATGATTATGATTAATGATCGCCCAGCTTGACTGACTCTAGTTACTGTCCACTCTCTGATCTCTCCGCTGATCTTTCGAACTCGGTCTCCCACAGGAAAGTGCTACTGTTTGGCCTGATCCTTCTTTACCTTATTTTTTTTTTTTGCCCCGAGAGATTCAGGAAGAAAATTGATCACACTCTGGGGAATACAGGGAAATGTGTAGAGTGAAAGAAAGTAAATAGAGAGTCAGCAATCCTATTCATATTATCAAAATATTTTCATATATTTTCTACGCTGTGATAGAAAAACAAAGATCATTTCTCGGGGGTGAACTAAACTCCAAGGGGAATGCAATTTGTTTATTAGAAATATTGTTAGCAATCAAAAGATTGAATCATGGCTTGGAAAATGATAATACTTAATTCCCGGTAGAGAAAAGTGAGAGTTGCAGAACTCCTCATAGATCAAAACATAAATATTTTCAAATCATTCTTGAGATGCAATTATTGTAACAAGCCAAAGAATGTGTTATTCACCTAAATAGGAATTGAAAGCATTATTTTTCATTGTAAGAACATAAAAAATATAAAAATTTAATGATAAAATGGGGATAAGGATATTAGGACACAATACAAAGTTAACCAAGAACAAAGATCGTATTCTTAATATATATATGTATATTTAGTGGCTCTTACCTTATATTAATTCTTTCTTTCCCCTTTTCAGGTGAATACATTCGCTTGCCCCTTGATGAGTTGTTGAACGACGTACTCAAGCTCTCTGAATTCCCTCTCGAAGACGAGGTAAGTCCAGTTGCCCCTTTTAGCAAAGTAGAAATACCTCATGGATGCCCGTCCTACACTCAATTTTGTAGTTATCCAACGATCCAGTGGCCTCCACTTCGCAGGCAGCCGCTGCCTTGAACGAGAATCAAGCTCAACGGATTGTTTCGGAGACCGGTGAGGATTTCCTCAGTGGCGAGGGAGTTCCAAGCAAGCAGCGCCGCATCGGCGCCGAGGACAAGGACAACGATCAGGACAAGGCCGACGGAGATAGCTTCTCGGTGAGCGACTTCGAGGACCTTCAGAATTCCGTGGGCTCGCCCCTGTTCGACTTAGATGAGGACGCCAAAAAGGAGCTAGACGAGATGTTGCAATCCACGGCTCCGCCCTACCACCATCCTCACCCCCACCACGGCCATCCCCATGCGCATCCGCATCCCCATAGCCACCACCATGCAACGATGCATCATGCCCATGCCCACCATGCTGCTGCCGCAGCCGCCGCCCACCAGCGAGCGGTGCAGCAGGCAAACTATGGCGGCGGCGTTGGAGTTGGAGTCGGTGTGGGCGTGGGCAGCGGCACGGGCAGCGCCTTCCAGCGGCAGCCAGCTGCCGGCGGATTCCATCATGGCCATCACCAGGTATGTGTGTGCATTGATCGTAATCCTCCCCACAGAAAGGTATATATTTATTTATAATTTGATGCGGATGCTCGGTTCAAGTGCTGCCATCCGTCGAGCGCTCCACATACTTACTTACACGACTGCACATGTACCTGGCCAACGGGTGTGTGAGTGTGTGTACACAGCTGTGGTCAAAATAATAGCATTTCAAATGAAAGAACAACAACATAAATCTGTTATTGTAATATCTTTTACCTTGAAGATAATACAATAATGTGAGAATTTATTTACCTGAAACTGAAATTACCTTAAACTTTTTGATTTAATTTAATTAAAGTATATAGTCTAATATGAATTGATTACAAGTATTTGTACAAAACAGGCTCCCCTTATGAGCTACTAAATACAGAATTAAAAATAGTATCAATAAAGAAAAAGTTACAAATGTTAATTATGCATTTTAGAAAATGGAATTATTTTGAAACTCATTTATTTTTTTTAAATTTCTAAGTTAATAGCTATTATTTTGACCTGCCTTGTTATGTGCCTGGTGTCTATATACATATGTAATCATACAAGGATCGTTTGCGCCTCGCTTTCGTTATTCTTTTGCTGCTTCTTCTCTGGTATTTTGGAGTGCCTCTTTTCAGTGTTCGTTTTCTCCTCCTTCATCTTCTTTTCGTGCTGTGCCTTCCATTTCTTTTGGTTCTTCACGTGGCCCGTGTGCCCGGATACTTCCCCCGCATCCATCGCCACCCCTTTGGGGTTCTCGAGCACTTGATCTTGGGCCTGCTCTCCTCAAGAGGCGCTGTTGTTGCTCTTGTTGCCGTGTTTGTTGTTTGTACAAAGCTTCAAATCTGGTTGTACACGCTCCTCGCCCTGCCTGCCCCCACATTTCCAGGGGCATCCGCTGTTATTCCGCTTCCAGCCAGCCACAAGTTCGTCAATCAAAAGCCCCACAAGTCTTTGGAGATCCCCCTTCCAAGCCAGTCTTTGCTCTTCACTCGCTTTTTGGCCGTTTCTCGTCGAATGATTCTTATTCTTTTTCTTATTTTTTGGCCTTTGTTGTAACTGCTCAACAGAAATTGTACGGGAAAAGCAACAAAATTATGATTGCGAGGCGAATGCGAGCAGTGTTAAAATAATATATGTATGGATACACACAGATGGGTACGGTTTTCGTGGTCTCCCATCTTGGTTTCATACTCCGCTGAGCTGCTCTTCAGTGTTTGTGAAGTTATCTAAAGGCTTTTCTCAACCCGTTTCTCTCTCAATCTTTGCCTGTTTATTTAGCCGTTGTTTTCGTTATTTCTCAGCCAAGTTCTCGATATTTTGTCTTTGGTATTTCTTGATGTTTGAGTGAGTCAGAGACACTGAAGAATGTTGTGGTTCTTATTAATATCGCTGAAATTGCTACAATCTATAGTTTCCAAATATTTCTTATTTATTTAGATCTTACAAAAAATACATGTCATTAATGATGAAAGGTAAGCCTTAGGCCAATATACTTAGCATTCAGATTAAAGGCATAGTTTTCATATAACTATATGTTATTATTATTGTGTTTTTGTGAAAACAACTAAATCCCGACTTCTTTGCACCAACACATTGTCCACTCTTTGTGGCCAATAAAATAAAGCCACCGCAAGTCTGAGCCGAACAAGTGCTTCCTGAATGAAACCCAGGCCGAAGTTCAACCTCTGACCTGCTTGCTTGCCCGCTCTTCCCGAAAAAGAGATAGATGCACAGGTGACAAAAGAGAGACGACAGCATGGTGAGGGTGGAACAGTCACGAAGTCAGCGGCAATTACCTTAAAGTCTCTTCCTTGGTAGCCCAAAAGAAAGCAAGAAAGAAAAACCACAGCAGCGGTCAACCTGAGTTGCTGGATTAGGCTTAGACCGCGTTTGATGTTGTGCGTCCTCCTCCTGTATTTCGGTTTTTGTGAATGCCAGCGGGTTGCCGGCTCTCGGCACTTGCCAAAGCCATTTAATGAGCCAGATGATCGGTTATTCGCCGGTTTCTCGAGAACTACTGTCGGCTAAGTCCTTTGCCGACTCTCGGAGGATTTTCCAGCCATCTAACTGTTAACGGTTAAACGGAAAGTGTCATTAGGCGGCTTTAAGCTTTGTTTTTCCAGCATCTCTTTCCTTTTGATCCTAGTGCGAATAATCATTATGCAACTTCCTGATCACATTTAATATGCCATTTGCATTCATTGATGATGGCCCTTTGGCTGGCTACCTGTACCCAAGTTTCACTTTGACTTTACACGGAAAGAAAAGTCCAGAAAGTACTTAATTTTAGATAGCAAAAATATATCATATTATTAAATAATAAAATACACAAGAAATTAGATACAAATCCGGAATGATAGCTATATTTTTTGGCGTGTATCTTTCGCTAATTGCAATCACTAAGCTGAGCTCTCGAGGGAGAGAGTGGAAAAGGGAGGTTGAAGAGGGTAGCAGTGGAAGGGAGGCGCCTGCGTTCATTACGGACACTTTGTTGTTGATTTTTTTTTTATACTTTGTATTTTTTTTGCTTGGGGCTTTTGTTTTGTGTGTGTGTTTTTTTTTCTGTCGCTTGCAATGCGCCACTTGACTTTTCCGCATGGGGCCGAAGTGTTTATTGAATTCGGTGGCACTTTGCAGCGCTGACCCCCCCCCCCCACCTTACCTACCCTACCCCACCCCTTTGACTTGATTGCATCTTTTGAGCCGCTCGGCGCTCGGCGGTAGCCCCTGCAATTAAATCCCCATTTAGCGCGCGCGAATTACAAAAAAATTTATCTCTTAATGTCCGTTCCCCGGGCCGCGCTTGCACCTCCTAATCGTCGCCCTGCACGGCTTTAATTATGTGAATTTTAAATATTTGCAAAAAGCTTAACGCTGAAAAATCAGCGCAGCAGAGAGAGAAAAAAACTTTATTAATTATTTTACAGCATCTCCGTGTTTTGCTTTGCCTCCTCGCTTCGTTGTTTTTCTCGGCTGTAGTTTTTTTATCCGATTTTTTCGCTGTACGATTTTAATTCAATTTATGTAAACAGTTTGATGGCTGCGCTGCGGAGGCTTAAGTTGAGACTTGAGCTCAGACTGCCGCTGTCATGGGACTCGATTTGTGCACACACATAAATCAAGTTAATGACAAAAAAAAAAGGCACAACTATATACAGCTCAGGTGTGATGGTGTCTCGGGCGGCAGTTGGCAACAGGAGGGAGGTACTACGCCAAATAATAGACCAAGATCTCTGACGTCTTCGGCTAATATCGGTGATTCCCGACTGGCCATTGATGGATTGAGGATTTCGTGGAAATATGTTTAGCAAATGTCGAAAATAATGTGCAGGTTGATCAGCTTAAACTACGTGTTTGGGTAGCATCAATTTGTGCAAATAAAAATAAATATTTCTAATTAAAAGCATTTGTTGCTGTTAACAAAACAAGCATAATGCTTAAATTTAAAAATGAAATGATTTTTGGATTTGGAGACTTAATTGCTTGGTCTTTAAGCTTGCACTTTTGTTTAATGTTTTTAAAATCCATTTTCGTTTCTGTTTCTAAAATAAACTTTAGCATGGAGCTATAGACAAGTAAACTGAAAGATGTTCTCTTTTATGTAATATTAAACAACACATTTAATTATCAATAAACATTGAATAGGACTACAACAAATCAATAGAACCAAAAACCCCTTAAAAGTCCAATCAAATTCTAGCGGAACACGCATGACAAACCCTAATGGGATCGGTAGGGATCGAGGCACTATCAAATGATAGTAATTCTCCGATCAAAAAGTGCAATCTAACGCATCTTTCCTCCCTACCCATCTCCGCCCCTCCGTAACGGTTGAGGCTGAATTAAAGATTCCGGAGAATAGATTCCAGATTCTGCACTCACTCCGCTCAAAGGTGATCGAAGGAGATCGGCTACCGTGTCTAAGTCGGCGGTTGGATTTGTTTGCGTGTGAAGCGTAGCAAACAATGGCCAACACCAGAAGTTAATGACAAGACAGTGACAATTCAAATTACACATGCGCGGTGCGCACTCACAGATACATGGATACACGAAGCCTCATACACAGATACAGATGCCGGGCCTGGGCGACTGCAACTGGCTGAAGTGAACGCCCAATGCTCGTATGCGGCTCCTACCTGCTGCTTACCTGTTTGCGCTCAGGAGCGTGTTGAGGCATTCATTAGATACACACAGACACACACATGCGCTCTCTCGGATACAGGTTGTGTGCATCCCCGGCTACTGTCATTCCGTCCGCCCGTCAGTCAGTCAGCCAAGTCAGCCAGTTGGTGCTGGTCAAACGACAACTCAACGTCAACGCGCAAAGGAGTTCGATCGCAGTCCAGAATCCAGATATTCGTTTTGTCGGAATTTCGTTTCGTTTCATTTCGTTTCTGTGGCTCCGACGATCCGTATCTGCAATGTCAGTGTCAAAGTGCATCAGCGTCAACGTCAGGCCGATATATCAGATCTCTGAAAGATCTTAATTGCACGCAGCACCGGCATTTAGCATTAAAAACAAATTTGTTTGCCGCCTTCAAAGGGATTGAGGAAGGATCGAAGATCTGAGAAGATCGAAGATCCCCAGATCGACAGTCCAAGAATATTATTCAAGAGTGAGTGCCTGCCTGCATTTGAAGTGGGGGAAAAAAAAAACTTTGCAATTCGCCCACGCTCTGGAGGCTCCGGAATTAGTTGAGCAAATAAATAAAGCCATCGATAATTAACAATAACAAAAGCCTGCCTAATGAAGTCGTAGTCTCACGATCCAGCCATTCGGGCGATCAGTCAGCCCCAAGAGATGCCAAGACGACTTACACAGCCAGCTTTTTACAGAAGGCAGCGGCGGAGTTGGTTCGTCTTAGGAAAACAAAGTGCGGCCAAGACCGCTGGCTGGGCTTCAAGATCCCAGCTCTGGGCTCCGGACACTCCGAGCACTTGTCAATTTGAAAGATACGAATTTCATTTCGATTCCAACACGTTGATCGATCTGGCAGTCAAATCGCCAGACTGAGACATTGTGCACGTTTTTTGGCTTACAGAGAGTCTGCGGCTCTGACAGCCGGGGAGATTGTTACTTGTAGCGCAATTTGAATTCAGTTTATTGTCTGTCTGTCTGAATGTGTTTTTTTTTTAGGACCGCCGCGTTTCTAGAGAATTCCCTGGCTGCGATGATTGATCGCTTATTGAGTTATAAGTTTCGTAATTCCAGCGACTATCGAGCGAACCCTTCTCACCTTGTTAATACATCAACAGCTAAGCAACGAGCGCCGAATTAATCAATGTCTTCCTTCTCTTTTATTCCTTTTTCTCATCGCAGGGCCGCATGCCGCGCCTGAACCGCAGCGTTTCCATGGAGCGTCTTCAGGACTTTGCCACCTACTTCAGCCCCATTCCCAGCATGGTGGGTGGGGTGTCGGACATGTCGCCGTACCCGCACCACTACCCGGGCTACTCTTACCAGGCTAGTCCCTCCAACGGCGGCAACCCGTCGGCTCCCGGCCAGCATGGCCAGTACGGTGGAGGAGCAGCTGCCCCCCTGCAGCCGCCACCACCGCCGCCGCCGCATCACGCAGCCATGCTGCATCATCCCAACGCCGCCCTGGGCGACATATGCCCCACTGGCCAGCCGCATTACGGCCACAACCTGGGATCGGCTGTGACCTCCAGCATGCACCTGACCAACTCGAGTCATGAGGCCGATGGCGCTGCCGCAGCTGCCGCCGCCTATAAGGTGGAGCACGATCTGATGTACTACGGGGTAAGTGTGCTAAGGGAGTTTCTTTTAGATTAGGACACAACTTATAGCTGATATATCTATATTTTCCAGAACACTTCCTCGGACATGAACCAGGCCGATGGCTTCATGAACTCTATTTTCACCGACGAGGATCTGCACTTGATGGACATGAATGAGAGTAAGTAATCGCTGCAATTATTATAAATTAGCTGAAATTTAACGAATTTATTGTCCAAAAGTTTTATATAATTTATGGATAGTTAAAATAATATTAACATTATTTTAAACATTTTTTATGGAAGCAATTCAAATTATTGAAATATAAATACAAGATTTTTGACTCTTAAATATTGTTTAAAAAAATAAGTAGATAAGTCGAACAATATTTAGAAGCCAAATATCTTATATTTACACTATTAAAGAAACCCCGAATTTTTCTCGGTGCTAAGCTTTTCGATTGCCAAAAAGTTCATTCAATTCGGCAGTAAGCTTTGGTCCGTTAAGCAGATGGCTCATCGTCTGAGAGTTCTCCCCCCACACCCACTCGTCACTCCGTGCTCACGGCGAGCTTTCACTCAAAGCCGTCGACTCAGAACAGATAAATCACTCGCGCACACCACCGAGTGGAGCAGCGCAGGGCGAGCTTTTTATACTGTTGCTTTATCGTTTTGCCCGCGACTCTTGACGTTCTTTCGTGATTAGCATACAAATTTTGTACAATTAGTTCACCGCTCGCTGGGTGAGCGCGGTGCGGGCGGCAAGCGCTCAGGTTTCGCTACTCGCGCTCACTGCAAAAAGTAACTCACTCGAGAGCCAAAGGCATTGAGCAAAGCAAAGCGAAAAGAACAGAGCGCGAGTCGAGGGCAAATCAGTCGAACACGAACAATCGAATACGATAGTAAAGTAAATATTAGAACCGACGCGACTCGAAACGTACACTGAGACAAAAAGTACATGTGAATATCGCCAGATAATAACCCAACCGATCCGAACAACGTGTCGTATACTTGATGCAATTAGCATAAACGCCTTAATAAAACAATGACGCATTTGGCATAAGTGTAGAAAACTACTCTCCCTCTCCTTCTCAATCTGTATCTCTGTGCGTGAATTTAGAATTTGGAGAGATACATGTATTTATAAAGCATCCCAAAAAAGGTGTACGCACTTAACAGCGGAATCGAAATCGAAATTCAACAGGTGAGAGTGAGCACATGAGCAAGTAAAATGAGATAAAACTGGATCACAAGGAAGGGGGTGGTTTTATTTTCGGTTTCCATCCCCACAAATCACCGAAAATAAGAGGGAACGAGCGAAAGAAAGCCCTGTAGAATTGTGTGACCGCGTAACAATTTTTTCATTAGTCATGCCGCACGGCGATCTTTGTTGTTGTTGCTGCTGATATCAGCACAATGTTCTGCTCTCTCGAGTGATTCTCTCTGGCTCCCCCTCTGTCTCTCTAGCACACCGCCCTCTCCCTCTATCACTACCTAATGCCCGCTCAGCAAGTTTTTTTAATTCATTTTTTTTTTTGCCCGCCTGTTTGCTGTTTACTATTTTTAAACTGCTGAGTCATCCTTTTCGAAACAATAACGTTAAGCAAAAAAGAAAAAAAAAATAGAAAAAGCTCCAAGAGCATAGAGAGCATAGCGAATGAAAAGTTTGCCAGTTCTAAAATTCCAAAAGGGTTGATAGTAACCGATCATAACGTAATGTAAGTGGGTTACGTGTTTACGTGTCCGCATTTTTTAGTTCAGAAACAAAGACATTCCCAATTTTAAATCTTCACATCGTTTAATTCTTTTTATTTTTTTTGGCTCATCATGAAACGTGTCATACTGGCCTTAACTGTTATCTTTATGGTTACCGTTATGTCTCGCGTTCAATGTGCCGCTGATAACTCTCTCATATACGTAGTACCTACTGTACAGTATACAAAGTATAGCATTTTGTCAAGTCATCAATGTTTATGGTTTAAGCTTTGACCTTGTCGACAGCGGGCATAAATACGAGCGAGAGTAGAAATACACCAGCTTACTTACTTGCTTGCCTGAATTGATTTGACTAATTAACTGCAGGCGCGCATTAATAATAACTAATGCCAGATTGCACACGTTCAGATTGCGCATTTCTGGACACTCATCCTCGTCGTTGCTTCTCTGAGATAAGACAAACCTCCCCCCCCCCAGGTGGGTGGGCGTAGGTTGGACTATATCGTAAGATGTGGTAATGTGACCAGGTATTTGCGAAATAGCGATTAAACAGTTGAGCGAGAGAGAAGCACACGAGCTCTCATCGCGGTACTACCTTATCGCCCGATAAGATAAGTCCCTGCTGAAATATGGAAAATGACTGCACACTTTTTTCGCCTGAATTTGTCCGAAAGGCAGTCATAAATTTGTGCTGAATAATCGAAGCTGCAAAGCGAGTGATTCAAGACCACGATAAGCAGAGGCCAATCTCTAATAAATGCTGTCTACATGAACTGGGGCAGTCCTCAAAATAACAGAGAAGTTTCAGTTCTGTTTGAGTTTAGTCAATGGAAATTATTATTAAACATTACTGTGCCTCTTACAGAGTTACAATGTTAACACTGATTCACGAGTAAAAGGGAGAGCATTACTGAAAATATATTAAAAATTAGTTGAATCACCAGAGAAGCTTTCATGAAAGTAGCCCATATATGTATGAATATTAATTGTTGCAGTATTATTAATATTTAACATGTAATAGAAATTCCTGAGCTAGTAATAATCTACTAAAACTGTAGGAAAACATTTTAATAGTAAAGCAGTTGTGGGAATATCACAATTATTATTTAATCTACTTTTTCGGAATCTCTAAACTATAACGATTATAACAGGGCCAATAAAACATTATGTTAGGCATTTATTTTTAAAGTAGTTGGATTATACTTGTATAATGATTTTCTATTATTTATGTTTATTGTGAGGCAAAAAATAAAAACGCAACTTAACCTCCACACAACATCGATGAAAAATGTATAAATTTTGATATATAATCGATGTTATGGTGTGGTTTTATCGATATTGAGCTTTAACACCTGATCTTAAATATTGTCCTTTTAAAATGAGAAAAGTTATACTACAATTTGCTATTTCTATTGCAGGCTTCTGTCGCATGGTGGACAACAGCACCAGCAACAACTCCTCGGTTTTGGGTCTGCCCAGCAGCGGACATGTTAGCAACGGCTCTGGCAGCTCTGCTCAATTGGCGGCAGGAAATCCGCATGGCAATCAAGCCAACGGAGCGGCCGGCGGCGTGGGCCCAATGAGCGGCACCGGAGCAGCGGGCATGACCACCGATCTACTGGCCAGCGGTGGTGCAGGTGCGCAGGGCGGCACAGATCGCTTGGACGCCTCCAGTGACAGTGCTGTCAGTTCGATGGGTTCCGAGCGCGTGCCGTCCCTCTCCGACGGAGAGTGGGGCGAGGGCAGTGACTCGGCCCAGGACTATCACCAGGGCAAATACGGCGGCCCCTATGACTTTAGCTACAACAACAATTCGCGGCTGACCACCGCCACACGTCAGCCACCGGTGGCGCAGAAGAAGCACCAGTTATACGGCAAGCGGGATCCACATAAGCAAACACCGTCCGCTTTGCCGCCAACAGCTCCTCCGGCAACTGCTACTGCGGTCCAGTCGCAGAGCATCAAGTATGAATACGATGCCGGTTACTCCTCTTCGGGAATGGCCAGCGGCGGCATCAGCGAGCCAGGAGCCATGGGACCGGCTCTGTCCAAGGATTACAATCATCACCAGGCCTACGGCATGGGAGCCAGCGGTAGCGGCTTCTCCGGAGACTACACGATGAGACCCTCGCCGAGAACTTCGCAGGATCTAGTGCAGCTGAATCACACTTACTCGCTGCCTCAGGGCAGTGGCTCCCTGCCCAGACCCCAGGCGCGCGACAAGAAGACGGTGGTGGCCACAAAGACCGCAACGAAGGGAACGAATCCCGGCAGCTCCAACAGCAGTGCTGGCGGCGGCAGCAGCAGCAGCAGCAACACATTGGAGGACGAACACCTGACACGCGACGAGAAGCGCGCACGATCCCTGAACATACCAATTCCTGTGCAGGACATCATCAATCTGCCCATGGACGAGTTCAACGAGCGACTGTCCAAGTACGACCTCAGCGAGAACCAATTGTCGTTGATCCGCGACATTCGCCGGCGCGGAAAGAACAAGGTTGCCGCTCAGAACTGTCGCAAACGGAAGCTGGACCAGATCCTGACCCTCGAGGACGAGGTGAACGCTGTGGTCAAGCGCAAGGCGCAGTTGAATGCGGACCGCGATCATTTGGAAGGCGAGCGTAAGCGCATCTCGAACAAGTTTGCCCTGCTGCATCGCCATGTGTTCCAGGTGGGTAAAGCTCTACTGAGATTAGAGCTTGAAACACTCGCGAGAATTCAAACTGATTGTTTTTCTTTTTTACTTTGCAGTATCTCCGCGATCCCGAGGGAAATCCCTGTTCGCCCGCGGACTACAGTCTGCAGCAGGCCGCCGATGGATCTGTTTACCTGTTGCCCCGGGACAAGACCGAGGGCAATAGCACAGCAACGGCTGCCTCGAATGCTGTGTCGTCGGCCAGCGGCGTAAGCTTGAATGGCCACGTGCCGGCCCAGCCGTCCATGCATGGCCACCATGGGCAGCACGGAATGCAGGCGCAACACGTGGGCGGAGGCCTGCCGCAGCAGCAGCAGCAGTCAAGGCTGCCTCCGCACCTGCAGCAGCAACAGCAGCACCATCTTCAGTCGCAGCAGCAGCCGGGAGGACAGCAGCAGCAGCAGCATCGCAAGGAATGAAAGTATCTGTTGCGAATCGCCGCAACAAAGAGTTGGTTCACTAGCTTCCAGCGCGAGCAGCAGCATCGATCCGAGCAACAGCAGCAGCAGCAGCAGCAGTTCGACTACCGCTACGACTTGTTCAATAATAGTTACCTGTACTACTGAGCGGCGACTTGGTTAATTTTCCAAACTATCTGCTGCAAGATGTTGCTGGCAACATTCGTTGCACCTGCTGCTGCTTCCAGCCGTTTGGAGCTGCCTCATTCGTCGTATCATCCCAAGCCCCCATCAATGATTTACTTATTTAGTCAGCTTGATTGTTATTTATTTTTTAATTAATTAATTAGTTGGACTCGTCCAGAGTCTGCCATGCGAGTCGCATTCAGCCCTTACTTAATTTCAATTTACTAAAAACATTACTTGTGATAAATCCACTCTTCAACTATGAACCCTTTAAAGCAGACGAAAGCAGCGAACAGAAAAGAGAAACGATCTAATCAAAAATGTTTGAATTGAATTTGTAAATCAGTAAACAACTCACACTCACTCAACACTCCATTCACAATCAAAGCTCGCCCATTTCTTATCAATGCGTCGTCGAACAATATTTGATGGCGAGGCCGCTTACAAATCTATAATATTAGTCTGTAAAATATGAAATCACGGAGATACTTGTATAAAATAGTTAATAGGACACACACACACACAAATCAATTGTAAAGGTTGCAGAATATTGCTGGACAGTTCATGAATTACGCTCGTAAGACACCTAGCAGTAAGCCTAGCCTAGTACGCTATCATTTAGCGAGAGATCTACCATTAGGCATTTATCAAAATCCCATAAACAAAAAAGCAAACATAACACAAACTAGCGTAGCACATAGCGTCTGTAAATACATATATTAAAGTTAGATACCCACTAACCCCAAGCTCTAGGCTAGACAGCAACTAAGAGAGTGCTAACACACCTCAAGGAAACTAAAGAAAGAACTAAAAAAAATAAATATATAAAAACAAAAACTAACAAAAAAAAAAAAAAAAAAATGGAAAATACGGAAACAAGACTTAAACAAATTCGGTAAAAACTGTCCTTGCTAGGGCGGCCCTTTCACTGTCCTGGTAACGGATTAGACGATAAGCTATTAAGAGATATTAATATTTAATATTCTTAAACATGTCCTACAGCATAAAGAGTTTAACACTAGGCTAAGCTACAGCTATGCGAAATGATTATACATACTTATATACGATATCAACTTAAACGGATCCGCTACGAAAACGAAATAAAAATCTATTGTTAATATAGGCATATGTATTTTAATTGTTGTAATGAATTTCACGCCCTCTGAGAGTCGATTGTCGTCGCATTCGGAGCTCACTCGAGTGGGAAACGAAAGATAGGAAATTCAATAAGAGAAAGCGAAATTATTTGTTGTAAATGAAACTTAAACTAATTACCTATTGTACTATTGTATTGTACTACTTACGCCCTTGGACCTAAAATACATTATAAATCCCCTTCGCGAAAATCCCCGTAACATAAATTATGTGAGACGAGTGCTCGCAGTCCCTGGATTACTACTACTACTACTACTAGCTTGCAAGGATCACCGAGCACTTGTCGACCAAGCCCCTGTACTTGTATGTTGCTATATATATTTGTGTATGTTTCATATGAGAAATTTGTATGCTTTAAACGATGATAAACTTTTCCTCAGCTAAACAAAAAGAAAACGTCAAAATTAAAGAAAAACCACTAAAAAATAAAAATTATAAGTTGTTTTTTGGTTGGGGTGGTACGGAGTTTTTCAACTGATTTCCGGGTTATGTTTACTAACGCTTGAATGTCCAGATATAGCATATTTTAAATTGCATACTTCCAGGGTGTATAAGATATTGGAACTCTATTTAAATCAAGCATACTTTCTTATGTCATTCAAATAAAAAATAGCACAGCTGCTGCCTTCTGTGTGCCTGGTGCTTGAAACCCAGCAAAGATGAATTTGTAGTAAAAACATTGGAAGAAGTTTTGTTTTTGCCTACTTTGAGAACATCAATTTCTCCAAAAAATCACTGCAAAAATCAATCCATTTCGAGTAATAGTAGAACAGAAAGTTCAGTACACTAGTCTAAATAAAAACTTCATATAGGGTATTCTACTTTAAGTCTGAAACTAGTAACGCTGTGAAGGATTCATTTCCGACCCCATATATCATATATATTCTTGATCAGCATCAACAGGCAACACATTCTAGACATGTTTGGTAGAAAAAAATATTTTTGTAAATTTTTTCAAAATTCGATAAGGGGTTACATCATCAAAATGTTCAGAAATTGACAAAAATTTAGATTTCTTAAAATTTCAAATGTAGTATGCAAATTTGTTAACTAAGAAAAAACAAGCTTAGAAAAGTTTTCCGAATTAAATTTAAATCTTTTTTGACTTAGTTATGGCATTTTACCATATAAAAATATTTAAAAAATTGAGGAAAAATTATTATTTACATTTTAAACTCAATATGCTGGTTGTTAATTTTAATAAAAACTGATTTTCAGAATAGAAATTAATGCATTTTTGGCCAATTATTATCGATTTCAAACTCGGCCAAACAAAGCTCTTAACTATCACTATACAAAACTTTTTCACCGATCAATTTTCAGAAATATCAATTAAATGGCTATTGTCCCTTAACAACAAAACTAACATTTAAAAATTGAGTAATCTAACCGACTAATGGACCGGAACCCATTTTCCAGCGACCGTAAATAACGCAAATTAAAGGCACATTTGAGTTAGTTCTGGTTTCATCATTAGGTATATTCTTCGTCTTTCAATTTCACAATCTTTGTGCCGCTTATAAGTAAAATACATCAATCATACATTCACATACTCATACAATTTTATTGTCCACTCATTACTAGAATTGAAGCTCGTGTGTTTTTGAAACAGTTTTATTGATTATAAAATTCCATTATCTAGCTCGTTGGAGTAACAACTATTATCGGGTAAAAGGGAATTCACAATTCCGTGGCGTCCTTTCATTATTATTATTATTTTATCATATTCATATTCACATACATATCGATTCGGTGAGCTTTTACAAACATTTCTCTAGAGGTCTAAGCTTACGAGGAAGTTGCAGCATTTTGGTTTCTGTGTCTCTCACATCTTACATTGCGGTAATATCAATTTGTAACTTAGCTATATAGTAAATTCAATACGCGTAAAGCTAACAACTTGTGAATCATTCATTCATCGGCTTAGCCTAGTCATACAATAGTTACTGGGGGATAGTTTAGGGGGTGGGTAACAATCAGATTGCCTCCACTTCAGCATCAGGGGTTGTGGGAAGGAGGGGGGACTTTGACGGGTTTCACAGCTGCAGCAGCTCTATGGCTATGACAGATGAGCTCCATGGAATCTCGCTTAGCTTAGTTTGAGTTAGAATTGTAGTGGGAGCGCCTATGCTTAACTAGAATACAACATCAGTTAACTGACGACGGCCAGGGCAGCGGACAGAGCACCGACTCCTTGCGCCTCTCAATTAATAATATCAACAAATGGAATCGATGGGCAGCTGGTCCTGCTTGATGCTCAGCCGACGGGGATTCGACTGCTTCTGGCGGCCACCGCCGCCGCCTCCGTTGCCAGCGCCGGAGACAATGGTAATCCCGCCTCCGGGTCCGCTGGCAGCACTTCCGCCTCCTCCGGTCAGCGTGCTGAGGCTGTTGTTGTTGCTGTAGTTGCTGCTGTTTATGGAATTACCGGAGTTGGTCTTCTCGTTAATACTGGACAGGTTGGGGATGCTGGGCGCTGTCGTCGTGATGGTCAGTCCGCCCATGGTGAACGAGGCGCCGTGCTTGTTGTTGTTCAGCGGCTCCAGCTCGCTGGCCAGCACGCCGTTGGGAATGGAATGGGAGCGTATCTGCAGGCGGCCCGAGTCCAGCGACTCGTCGCTGGCCGGATCCAGGTGATCAACCGACGCGGCTGAGGCGATCCGCTGGAACATGCTCGCCGAGAGCGTGCGGTCCGCAAAGGGAGCGTTGACTCCCAGGCCGGGACAGCTCTTGGCGCTCTTCGTGTACTCCGACTTGAGTTCGTCCAGTTGCTTGGCACTGCACAGCGGAGTGTCCACGTCGTAGGTGTTGTTAAAGAGCGTGTAGTCCACCTCGTATTCGCCGGTCTCCTTGCGGAAGGACACTACGTTCACAAAGCGGTGGCCCCACAGCACCTCCGAGGGCAGATAGCTGCTCCTGGCCTGCGTGGTCATGCCTGTGGACTCGATGACGCCCTCTGAAATAGGAATCCAATTAGTTTACATCACCAGGAGCCTGCGATTATCTTAACTTACCCAGCATAACCACCACTTCGAAGCGCTCCTTCAGCATATCCGAGGCGGAGAGCATGTACAGCGGACTGTTTCGATCGATCTTGTGCACTATCGTCGTCGGCCAGATGAACATCAGCCGATCCTCGCCCCCGTCGGCGCCCACGTGCAGCTCCTGCTGGTAAAACGGCAGCACCTCGCCCTCCTTCGTCACCTTCTTGCGGATGATCTGGGCCCGCACATGAGCTTCGATGATGTGCGACTTGCGCATGTCTCCCACGCGGAACATTAGACATGGAACTCCATCCCGGTGGCAGATCACAGCGTTCCTTGAGAAGAGCAGCGTCTGGGCGCGCTTCTTGGGACGCGACAGCTTGGCAAACACAATGCCCACCATAAAGGCCTGGATGAAGACACCCGTGATGCACTGGATGCACATGGTGAAGATCGCCTCTGGACACTCCTCCGTCACGTAGCGATTGCCGTAGCCTATCGTCGTCTGCGTTTCCACGGAATACAGGAAGGCGGTCATCATGCTTTTCACCTGCGTCACGCACACAGTATGCGTCTCATTGGCCACCAATTCGGGTGACTTATTCTCCCGGATGATGTAGTCTAGATCATTGTGCGCATAGGCGATGATCCACCAAATAAACCCGAAGAAGGCCCACGAAATGACGAAGCTGGCGGCGAAAACGAGCAGCGTCCAGCGCCACTGAGCATCCACCAGGGTCGTAAAGATGTCCTGGAATACAAAGTAGATGAAAGTCAGGATTGTATTTTGTAAATTAATAACAAATATATAATTTGAAAATCCTTATTTCTAAAATCTTTGATTACAACACGACAAGGTCTCATGCTTAAGGAACAGGACTCGCTTGCCAGAAGGACAAATCAATTTACATAATTGCAGTCAATGTATCGCGGCAAGAGTTACGCAAACGGAAGAGCGCGAAAGGAGACCTAAATATAAATACGTATCAAAGGCAAGTGGGCCGCCGACCGACCAGATATAGATACATGCATATACATAGATATATAGCCACGCACTGCCACGCCCCGAGAGGCCGCCGAAACACTCACCTGCAGATATCGACGCCGCCTCTTGGCCACATTGCCCTGCACGACGTTGCACTCGCCATGCTTGAAGACCACACGTTTTCGGACACGCCGCGAGCTGAAGCGTGTCTGCCGGTACCTGAAAGGGAACAAGACGCGGAGATTGACATATTAATACACATGGCACGCAAATAGATTCGATTTCTTGGCTTGATTGGGGATTTCGCTTTCAGCTGCAGTGCGGAAAGCTCCTGTTGTCTATTAGGGATTGGATTTACACAACACGTTCGTAATACCTAATTTTGTGTACTTATTTTCTGTTTGCATTTCTGATAAACGGCACATCCTATGTTTGTAATGATTTTTGTGGGCACGTGGGGAAAATTTTGTTATCAGAAGTCCTACTGCAAGGCAACAAAATCTTTTGTTATATTCAAACCCACAGCTCGTTGATTATTTGTTATATATGCAAGTGTATAGTTTCTGAAATTAATTCTGAATACATTATACTGACATCTGTCCACTTATAGATTTCGTATTTGGTTATCTCTGTTAAGGTATACTTCCTTATAACTTATTTTAAGTCTATCCTATTTTTCTTTTTATACGCAACAGACCTTTGCTGCATGCAAATATACGCCCACATTTTTAGCTCATGTACTAAAAACCAAACAACCAAGGAGGGAAAAGTGCAATATGATATCTATTTGCAGTGCAGTTTCTTGAACCATGAATGCCTTGACTCTGGAACAGACTCCTTAAAACAACAGGAAGGAGAACTGAGGCCAACCACAATGCACACAACACACATGCATATGTCTCAGCCGATTATGACCGGCCTTTGTCCCGAGTGATAAAGGATGGCCAACAACAGGAAGTCACAAGACAGTAGCCACTGACGTTTGTCTGAGGCATTCCGGCCGATAATACAAATACATAGTTATCGATATTGCCGGTATATCTGATCAATTTACCAAATCATTGCTTGGAGCGTAACGCTCGAGAGGCACACTACGAACACTAGACCGATAAAGAACAGCATGGAGAGAGCACTTGGCTGGCTGGGGACTATCAATCGGCGATACTACGAGCACCGGGGATCCGCATTCACCGCGATCACTGGAAACTTTGGCGGGGACTATCAATGGTGTGAGACTAGACCATTAAGAGCTAGGTTATTAGCGGCTCAGGGTTCGGATTAGCACTGAGGAGACAATCGGACGTCTTCGGAAGCTCCGCTCTGGATCAGCAGTAACTGTATTATGGTTAATCGCTAACTGTAAACAGCCCTGGAGCGAAGAGAACAACAACAGCTGAGCTGCCTCTTGCAGTCAGCTTTCGTTTCACTTTGCCTCGCATTTAAATGTTCATTTATATTTTGATTTCATTTCATTTACTTTACACGCTTTATCAGCTCGCCTCGCTTTGTGCACTGAAATTCTGCTAGAATGTGCAAAAGTCCCCCCCTCACATACACTGGGGAACTGAGCTTTACGCGTTCAGCTCCAAGTTGGAGCTTGAGTCGAATTCTCCCGAGTGGGAGAGGTGCCGATAAGGAGGTACTAATGGCATAGCGGAATCAGAAAGCAATAGGATTGCTTGGAACAAATGGATTTGAAATGGCAATTCGGAAGGCATCAATCACTCTCATTAGGCAAGGTCTCTTGAAAATGTAGCAAAAAGTATGAAAATTGAATAAATTAAGAAGATAATGTTGCAAGAAAGTTTGAACAAACAAAAGAGTTTTAGCTGTTGTTATTGATTTCCAAGTTGATAACAAATCTCATTTAATCAGCCGAAAAAGCAATATCAATTTTGTATAATCTAAAGGTGACTTTCAATGGAAAAGTTTTTAAATATAAAATAATACAATTTCTCTTAGGTTTCACAAATATCTCTTCTTATCAATATTCTGGAGAAGTAACTTGAAAATTAACTAATAAGAAATTTAATTAATATAATTCCTAAAAGTTGAGCTAACAAAAGCAGAGGCAATTAAGTCTTATGCTTTGACGCCATTCAGTGATTCCCTGAACTATTATGAATATTTATTGAAAGACCCAACGTAGCAACTAATAAAAGTTCTTTCTATAATATTAATTATCGTATGTACATATATGTATTGTACTTCAGAACTCCCTAGATAAGACAACAGATTTTATCAATTAGCAATTCTGTTCGCTTATAACTTTTGGCCAAAAGAGAATCAAAATATTGGTATCTTGAGAAAGGCACTTGATGAATCATCGCACCTTATATGGAGGCATACATTCACAATGTACCCAGTACAAGCTCATTAATAAATAAATCATAACGTTAAAATACATGTGTGAGAGAATTTCTCAGAACACTGATATCTCCCCAGACGCAACTCAATAAAAATTCGTAGAAATCACCGGAGTGCCATTTTAGAGTTCATTAGTTTAAATCTGATGTTTGGCTCATGCAAATAAACCGGCTCACCACAAAGTGCCCGATTGTTATTGTTATTGTTTTGTTTATAAACGTTTTTATTTTGTTGGTTTGCCAAATGCAATATTGTGACTGTTGGGGGAAAAACCGGTCGCTGTCTCTGGGGAGAAGTTAAACAAGTTCAATGGAACGAGCGACACATACTCCTCTGCGAGTATACGAAGCAATGCGTCAACTCCCAAACGAACCACATTATATCAGCTGATGTTTTAGATTTTTCGCAGATAGGGAAGCGAGCTAGAGAATGCTGAGCTAAAAATACCCGTAATATTCAGAGGTTATCTAACAACCGGAGGCCAGATAAGGCGCTCCTTGGGTTATGGCCTACAATTAAAGCTTAGCCTGTGCGCTAATCGCGGTGGCAGTTGGAGCAAAAAGTCAAAACAAAACTAACCTTCGACAAGGCGAACTCGCCGGAGGTGCAAGGCTGGAGGTGCTCCCCCTGCAATGGCTATTGGCTGTGCACTTCAAATGCCTGGCTAATGGCCAACGAATTGTTTTGCCAATGCAATTGGGCCATCTGTTATTGCCCGTGTCGATATTCCGGAGGTGCAAATAAGTTGACCATGGTCATGATCATAGTCCGTACGGATCCCACTCAGCCAGTTGACGTCACGGATCTTCGTTGGATCTCTTTTATGGCCCAAGGAAAATTCATTGCAAAAGCTTTCCCCGGGAAGTACTTTACGGTATATGTATGTATTTTACGAATATATATACTACAATACATTATAGACAACGTGCTGCAATTGCTGTCCATAAATCAAAGTGAGAATTGTGAACAGAATAAAGCCAGACAGTCAGTCAGTCAGTTTTACAGCACGTTTCGTAATTGTTAGGCGCCGACACAGTACATGCATTTCAACTAATACCGGAAGGCTTCCCTCCCGCTGACTCAATATTTTTCCATTATAATCCCTTTAATTCTGTGCGTTGTGATAACTTAAATAAATATTGTTGCTTTTGAGTAGCCCTTGTGAAACGCAGTGTACCTGCATATTTCCTCATTTATTTTGCTTTTGCTTTGCCAAAATAAAAATGGCAAAAGTGAAAAGTGCAATTATGAAGCTGAATATATCCGCCATAAGTTGTCGAAAGGCCACTTGGCCACTCACCGAAACCGTGAACAGTTCGGGCCAAAAACAAAAGATTGCGGGAGAACAAAACATCCTTTCATGGGCCTTATGTAAACTTTGATCCGAAAGCTTTATATATATAGAACGGATCTGGTATACCAATGAATATGTTTCAACAGAGGTGGCTATATCGGCACAGAGCTAATGGAAATGACTTTTCAGGCAAATATTTATGCCGCATTCGATTAAACATTATAAGTCTAAATGCGCAGATGCATATATGTACAGGGTACATATAGACATTAGCTATACTATATGTATGTACACTTGTGCACATGTTTTATGTATTCTGCGATCGGGGCGAGTTCAGCTGTTTAAATAGCCTTCAAGGGTGACTAGCTGGCTGCAAACAGTTATGAAACGTCGTCAAGTTATGGAAAACAGATCTTTAGACTGCAGAAAACGATGCATACAGAACCGGAATCGTGACTAGATTGGCAAAGATATAAAGAGAGAAAATGCCAGCAGGAGCACTTAATATATTCCTTGATTCAAGATATTGTTGAAGGTACTAATTGTATCTTTAAGCTACACCTCCAGGAAATGCACAGGCTCCATCAATTAACTGTACTTTTGAGTTCCTGAGATATTTACATACTTTTCAGAGACAGTTCTACCCTTAATTGATCTCTGATCATTCACCTATCAGTAAGAGATATCACATTAACATTTCACAGGCATTTAGGTTCCACTTGTAAAAGATCAGTTAATCAATAAATCGTCTCTCCAATTTCACGCACACTTTGCGTGGCCACGCATTAAGGCATTTAACCGATCGCTGATCGATGATCGATCTCCCCTCTGGCCGGGATTTACCTGAGTAGCTCCTCGCGCCACGACTGCTCGCTGGAATGGGTGGCTCTGTAGACGATCATGGACAGCCGGCTAAAACTGCGCCGCAGCTCAGACATCGTGGGGCCGTTGATCGATGGTCCTACGGATCGAAGCGATGGGCACTGGGATCACAAGAGAGGTATCAGGGAGAATACTGTTGGTTGCGATCGGAGCTCTGCACTGAAGTGTGCTTTTATTATTGATCTGTTGTGTTTTTTTTTTTTCGCCCGTTTGGCTAAACAAAAAAGAGTACGAAAACGTTTTCTCTTGTGCGCTAGTTTGTCATTGTTATAAAAATAAAGCACAGGCAGTGTTTCATCAGGAGGCGACGACGGGCCGAGCAGCCCAATAAATCACCCAAGCGAGATCTCAGCATTTCGAGGGAGTGGGAGTGGGAGTGGGAGTTCTGCTGCTAACTTTCAAATCGAGCCACTTTTCACTATGCCGGATGCCCGGTTAATTAACTTGTAAAGCGCGTAGAATGTCACGCCTTTTGTTCTAGTTATTTTTTTTTTTTTTTGTTTTTCTCGAATTCTTTTTTATTGTCGGTTGTGTGAACTGCGCGATCGAACAACTTTGTGCCAACTGTCGGCAAGCAAATTGAAATTCGCCCTCGTCGCTGCAAACAAAACTCGGCGTTCAGTGTGTTCGCTGGTGTTGATATTAGTCCCGCCTCCCCCGATCCTCGCGTCGATAT